TGTTTTAGAGTTTGGGTGGGGTATGTAGATTTTAAGTGTCTTTGTCTTCCTAAGCTTCTAGCTTCAATCTTCCTGAATGGTTTACATCTGCATTTCTACAGAGTGGTTTCTGCTTGGAGGAGGGAGACTTGGGGCTATTAAGAAAACAGGGCGTGCTTTTCTGCCTCTTTAAGATTTCCTTCTCTGGGAGGGGGGCTGACTTCCCACAAAACCCTACATCAACATAGCCCAGTGTTTCTCAACATCAGCAGTTTTAAGATGTGTAGACTTCAACTCCCAGAATTCCCTAACCAGCAGTGCTTTTTCGGTGGTAGCTCCTTCCCTACAGAATATTATTAATAAAATAAAATACATTTATTCCCCACTTCGTTGCTTTTCCAACAAGCCCTGAAGATGGAGACGGAGTCGATCAAGTGGCTGCTTTGATTGTGATGCTACTTGGTTGCAGTGGCATTTTTTATGTTGTGTTTTTTTAAATGTTGGAAACAGACCAATCTTTGGGTGTGAGCTGAGCAGCTATATAATTTTCTTTTTAATGAATAAATAACTCCTCCCCCCCTCACAGATGTCACTTGAATGCAATCACAGCCTACATCTCAATATCTGACTGAATGCTGGTTTATTCAGTTAAAACATTAACTTCCCAGGGCACTGTGAATTGTTTGCACTCTGGAAGCTTTAATGTTGCATTTACAAAACAGATGTTCCTTTTTATACTCCCAGGGATGATGGAGGAAATTTCTGGGATAAGGATCGAGGCTGCTATTTTTGTGAAAGTCAAATAACTTTGAGATAGACATTTGCATAAATAAATTACCAGAATCAAAATAGAGCTAGAAGGGGCCTTGGAGGTCTTCTAGTCCAGCCCCCTGCTCAAGCAGGAGACTCTAGACCAGTGGTTCTCAACCTTTTTAATGCCACGACCCCCAACCGGTCGTAAGTCGAGGACTACTCAACTGGTGCAGCACCGTTTGCAGAATGGGACTTTTGGCGGGCTCAGCAGGGCAGAGACAGCCTGGACAATTCCTATTGGCTTTTGAAAGCCAATAGAATTAGACTCTATTCAAGAGAGTCTATTCTATTGGCTTTCAAAAGCCAATAGAATAAAAGGGAGTAGCACAGCTAAGGAAAAGGGGGAAAAAATGGCGGACTGCGTTGTTTGGCGACCCCCGTGAAATGGTCGTTCGACCCCAAATGGGGTCCCGACCCACAGGTTGAGAACCACTGCTCTAGACTTGTCCAGTCTCTTCTCTCAAGCTTCCTCCTTCCGTTATATATTCAAGATGGACAGTATTTAATATTTATTTTCTGTGTATATGTAGGGGTGTGGGTCTATACATATGTTGTACATAGTATGTTTAGGTGCATGTCATGTATGTGTTTCACTTTTGAGAGTGGGCAACTAAATTTCATTTTTGATGCGTGCCGTTATGCCCACAGTAAAAAAAATGACAATAAAGGTTATCTTATCCTATCCTATCTTTAAAAATCCAGTGATGAAGCACCCACAACGTCTGAATGCAAGCTGTTCCACGGGTTAATTATCCTCACTGTTAGGAAGTTTCTCCTTAATTCCAGGTTGCTTCTCTCCTTGATTAGTTTCCATCCATTGTTTCTTGTCCTGCCCTCTGGTGCTTTGGAGAATGGGTTGACCCCCTCTTCTTTGTGGCAGCCCTTCAAATACTGGAATAATGCTATCATGTCATCCCCTAGCCCAGATATGTCAAACACAAGGCCCGGGGGCCGGATGCGGCCCGCGAAGTGGTTTCATGTGGCCCGCGAAGCCATCCTGGAAACAGTGAAGGAACGGCCCCTGCTGCCTTGGCCCTGGCCCAGGCCGGCCGGGAGCCAATGTACAATTTTGTGGTGACCATCTATGCTGAAATGCATTCAATCTTAGCTCCATAAGCCCCCCCCCCTGCATGGCCTGAGAGGAACAGTGAGGCTCCTCCAGTGGACCATGCCTTGGCACTTGCCCCGGTCCCACCCCCTTCTGCCAGAGACCCTCAGATCTGTCCCACTCCTGCCCAGGCCCCCATAGGCACCCTTGATGCGAATGATGTAGAGCTGGCCACACCCACCCAGTAGGCCGCACCCACCTGGCCCCCTGAGGGCAACTGCAATGCTGATGCGGCCCTCAATGAAATTGAGTTTGACACCCTTTCTTTTCTCTCTAGACTAGCCAAACCCAATTCCTGCAACCGTTCTTCATGTGTTTTAATCTCCAGGCCTTTAATCATCATAGTTGCTCTTCTTTGCACTTTCCCCCAAGTCTCAACATCTTTTTTGTAATGTGGTGACCAAAACTGGATGCAGTATTCCAGGTGTGGCCTTACTAAGGCTTTATAAAGCGCTACTAATGCTTCACCTGATTTTAATTCTATGCCTCTGTTTATACCAGTGTTTCTCAACCTTGACAATTTTAAGGCATGTGGACTTCAACTCCCAGAATACAACCAAGGATTGTATTTGCTTTTTTGGCTGCTGGCACACGCTGCTGGCTCACGATTAAGTGATCGTCCACTTGCATACCAGCAGCACACGTTTGGTTACATTTCTAATTATCCACCACCAGAGCTTGGTCTGTTAATTAGAAACTCCGGGATTTATTTATTTATTCCCATGAATAAGGTCTGCAGCCTGAAAAAAAAAATCTCAAACCCTGAAAACGGAGAGCCATGGATCGTGATTCTTGGTGCTGTGTGTTCTATCGCCACTAGAAGGTGCTAGAGCAAAGGTACTTTTCAAAAGACAACCGGACTTTGTTTTTTCTTTGAAAAAAGACGGGGGAGGGGGGTGAAATTCACATTGGATCAAAGAGGAGCAAACTAACCCACGTCTCACAAAACTTCCGATTCCCAAACCCAACAGTAATATTGATGGATGTCTAGGGAGATTCTCAATCATTCAGATCAGGATTAGCTCAAAGATTCTTTCAAAAGGCAATTTGGACTTTTGAAAGAAGTACCTTTGGGATCGATTGATTGGATTTATATGGTTGCTCACTCACTCTCGGGTTTTAGGGTGGCTTACAAATAAAGGTGCTTGCTCCTGGGGAGGAAAGCTATGGCAAATTTAGACAGCATACTAAAAAGCAGAGACATCACCCTGCCAACAAAGGTGCGTATAGTCAAGGCCATGGTTTTCCCAGTTGCAATGAATGGTTGTGAAAGTTGGACCATAAGAAAGGCTGAGCACCAAAGAATGGAGGCCTTTGAACTCTGGTGCTGGGGAAGACTCCTGCGAGTCCCTGGACTGCAAGGCGATCAAAGTCCTAGAGGAGATTAAAGTGGTACCTGGAAAAATATTAATGGTCTGACAAAGAATATGGGTAAAAAGCAGATGGCCCACCAAAGATTGTGTGTGTAAGGGAGGTTTGTTTTGCTTACAAGACAACTCTTAAATTTAGGATGGCCAGACATCCTGTTCCCAGCTCTGCACATGATATATTACTAACTGCCTGTCACATGGTATATCTAAATTGCTTAACACTTGATATATTGCTGATTGCTAAAAACATTCCAATGTAAACGAGGAGCTATCGATTATAGATCTGTCTAGTAGTTTTTCTATGTTAGAATAAGGACCTATAGAATGTAATGACCTGAAAATAACCCCCGCCAGAAAGGGTTATAAAAGTGGTCATCAAGGTACAATCTGGGTTCAGATTCCTTCAGCCAGGATGGCTCTCTGAACCTGCGCAATAAACTTCCCTTTCCTGAAAGAGCTGATTCAAGTTTTTTTTAATTCTATAACAAGATCAACCCCGATTGCTCTTTAGAAGGCCAGATCCTGAAGTGGAAACTCAAGTACTTTGGCCACCTAATGAGAAGGAAGGACTCACTGGAGGAGAGCCTGATGCTGGGAAAGATGGAGGGCTATAGAAGAAGGGGACGACAGAGAAGGAGGTGGTTGGATGGAGTCACTGAAGCAGTAGGCAGGAGCTTCAATGGACTCCAGAAGATGGTAGAGGACAGGAAGGCCTGAAGGAACGTTGTCCATGGGGGCGCGATGGGTCGGACACGACTTCGCAACTAACAACAACAAATAATAATAATAAACTTCCTGGGGGTGGGGGAGATCTGCATGGGGGGACACAGCCCAGGATGAAATGCTTGTGATAAATGCCTTGCTTTTTCTTGCCCTCTTCTCAAAAGGGCAGGAATGAAACGGTGACACTCTGTTAACCACTGAAGGAGACGACCATTTTAAAATAAAATCTAATACAAGCAACCCTCGACTTATAACAGTTCACTTAGGTACCGTTCAAAGTTACATCAGCACCGAAAAAAGCGACTTATGACCGTTTTTTTTTCACACTTAGAACCATTGCAGCATCCCCAGGGTTCACCTGATCAAAATTGAGATGCTCGGCAAGTGGTTCCTATTTATGACGGTCGCAGTGTCCTGGAGTCACATGATCCCCTTTGGCAACCTTCGGACAAACAAAGTCAATGGGGGAAGCCGGATTCAATTAACGATCACGTTACTAACTTAACAACCGCAGTGATTCAACTTGTGGACTTCAATACCCAGAATTCCTGAGCCAGCCATGCTGAGGAGAAAGGGAGAGGTTTCCAAGCTGAGCCATGCTGGCTGAGGAATTCTGGGAGTTGAAGTCCACAAGTCATAAAAGAGCCAAGGTTGCCCACCCCTGGTATAGGGTCTCCTGCTTGAGCAGGGGGCTGGACAAGAAGACCTCCAAGGTCCCTTCCAACTCTGTTATTCTGTTGGAGACGTAACCACTGTGGCAAGAAAGCTCGTAAAATGGGGGCATTTAACAAACGTTTCACTCTTAGCTGCACCAATGTTGGGCTCCATTGCGGTCGTAACTCGAGGACCGCCTTCCGGCCGCTCCTTTCCACTTTCTCAAAAGAGTCCATCGGGAACCCGAAGTTTGAAACGGCGCCTTGTCTTTCTCCTCCCCCCCCCACCCCTCCCCACTCGCGCTCCTTTACCTCTTGGCGGGGCGTGGGCCGACGCTTCTTGATGACGTCCGGCAGGCCGGAAAGGAAGCGTCGGTGGCGTGTGACGTCGCACCGTCAAGCTAGAGAAGCTGCCGCGGTGGTTGTTTTCCACTCCGCCGCCGTAGCCACGCAACGGTCCCCGGGCCTGGGCGAGATGGAGAGCGCCAGCCAGGGTAGGGGCTGCCGGGGAGGGCCGTGGCGGGGCTCTGGGCCTCGTTCGGGGACTGCGGGGCTTCAGCCTTCCGAAGGGGGCCGGCGTCTCTCGCCTGGCTGGCCGTCCCTGCAAGTAGAAATCTAGCAGGCTGGGCTGGATTTCTAGGTGCAGGGGGCGGCCTCCATTTTTGTTTTGGGGGGGCTAGGGGGTCCAACGTCTCAGAGGGCAGGTCAGCCCCCTCCCCAAAGGGAAGAATGGTGGGAAATGGGGCTGGGGGGGTTCCTGGAGGGGAGTGTGGACCCTGAGCGAAAGCATAGGGCGGAAGGGGGTCTTTGTTTTATTCTATTTTTTATTATTTTATTATTTGCTTTTATTGTATTTTATTATTTTATTTTGACGTTACTATTTCATTGTATTGTATTTTTTTTGGCATTTCATTTTATTATATTTTTTATTTTGGCATTTCGTTTTTATCCCATTTTATTGTCTTGTTTTTTCATTTTCATTTTTTTTAATTTTACTTCATTATATTTTTTACTTTTTGTTTTTTATTATTTGTTTTATTATACTTTATTATTTTATTTTGATTTTACTATTTCATTTTATTGTATTTTTTGGGCATTTCATTTTATTGTATTTTTTTATTTTGGCATTTCGTTTTTATCCCATTTTGTTGTCTTGTTTTTTTCATTTTCATTTTTTTAAAATTTTACTTCATTATATTTTTTACTTTTTGTTTTTTTATTAATTATTTTGATTTTACTATTTCATTGTATTGTATTTTTGGGGGCATTTCATTTTATTGTATTTTTTATTTTGGCATTTCGTTTTTATCCCATTTTGTTGTTTTTTTCATTTTCATTTTTTTTAAATTTTACTTCATTATATTTTTTAGTTTGTTTTGTTTTTTTATTATTTGCTTTATTATATTTTGTTATTTTATTTTGACGTTACTATTTCATTGTATTGTACTTTTGGGGGGCATTTCATTTTATATTTTTTTATTTTGGCATTTCGTTTCTATCCCATTTTGTTGTCTTGTTTTTTCATTTTCATTTTTTTAAAATTTTACTTCATTATATTTTTTACTTTTTGTTTTTTATTATTTGCTTTATTATACTTTATTATTTTATTTTGATTTTTACTATTTCATTTTATTGTATTTTTTGGGCATTTCATTTTATTATATTTTTTTATTTTGGCATTTTGTTTTTATCCTATTTTGTTGTCTTGTTTTTTCATTTTGATTTTTTTAAAAAAAATTATATTTTTTACTTTTTGTTGTTTATTATTTGCTTTATTATACTTTATTATTTTATTTTGATTTTACTGTTTCATTTTGTATTTTTTGGGCATTTAATTTTATTATATTTTTTTATTTTGGCATTTCGTTTTTATCCTATTTGTTGTCTTGTTTTTTCACTTTCATTTTTTTTAAAAAAATACTTCGTTACATTTTTTATTTCGTTTTGTTTTTTATTGTTTGCTTTATTTTATTATTTTATGTTGACATTGCCATTTCATTTTATTGCATTTTTTGGCATTGCATTTTTTTAGTTCAGCATTTCATTTTTATGACATTTTATTGTTTTGTTTTTTCATTTTATTTTATTAATTTTGTTTCATTATATTTTTTTGTTTTATTTTTATGGGGTGTTTTTTTTTTTCTATATTATTTCTGCTTTCTGTCGCCTTTGGGACGGCCCTTCCCGCAATCCCTTCCTCTCCCCCCCCTTGGAGGGATTGTGGGAAGTGGATCCCAGAACTGGACCCCCCACCTATTGCAAAGAGAAGTGGGGTAGTAGGAGGCCCAGGGCCCGGTTGCCCTCCCCTCCAAAGGCCAGGCGCTGGGATGCTGGAGGAGCTTTAAGATGGAAGCCTAGACCTCGAACAGGCCTTTGGATTAGGTTAGAGCAGCTGGCTGGGCGGGTTTGGCCTGGCCAGGATGGCCTGGGGGAGGGAAGGAGAGGAAGAAGAGTCTGGGAAGGGAGGGGGGAATCTGGAACTCAGAGTTTACTAAGGGGGTAGGAAGGCCTCCCTGGAAGAAGGGGAATGGGTCTGGTTTGGGGTCTTAGGGGAGGGGTCAGCTTTAGCAGCTTTAATCTCTCTCTGATTTTTCCCAATTGTTTGCCACATAGCTTTGATGGTATAAAGCAGGGGTCTTCAAACTTGGCCACGTGAAGCCTTGTGAACTTCAACTCCCAGAATTCCTCAGCCAGCCAGGGCTGGCTGAGGAATTCTGGGAGTTGAAGTTCACAAGGCTTCACGTGGCCAAGTTTGAAGACCCTTGTTCTACAGCTGGTGTTTTTTTTTTCAAACTTGTTAACTTGAAGATGGGTGGACTTCAGCTTCCAGAATTCCCCAATCCAGCAAGGCTGGCTGGAGAATTCTGGGAGCTGAAGTCCACCCATCTTCACATTGAGAAAGGCTGTTTTCATTTGTTCGGGCCACCCAGTGAAAAGTTAACTTCTTCACATCCAGTGTAAAAACAGAATAAACCAGCCCAAATTGGATAAAAGTCTTTATTTGTGTTGGGTAACACCACCTTGACTCCATTGCCCAATCACAACAGGGATATTTACATTGCTGTAGTGCAGTGTTTCCCAAACTTGACAATTTTAAGGCATGTGGACTTTAACTCCCAGAATTCCACAGCCAGCAATGCTGGCTGTGGAATTCTGGGAGTTGAAGTCCACATGCCTTAAAATTGTCAAGTTTGGGAAACACTGCTGTAGTGCAATGCTTCTTAACTTTTTTTTTTTTTTTTTGAAAAAGGACAGGGCACAACCCAACTGATGCTAGATCCTCTTTTGATTGGTCAATGGTGTCTGCAGGTGATTGACACCTGGTTCATGCCTCAGTCCTTTTGACAAATCCTCCCAAATTTTGAAGGAACAGTGGGCTACATCTTGCAACCCAGTTCAACTACTATATGCGGTCAATATCTCTTTTCCCCCTATACAGCAAGGGGGAAACGTCTCCCAGTATTTGCTGAATTCCTCTCTTACTTTGCTCCTTTAAAAGTTATTTTTTAATGAACAGTAACAGGGAAGGCAACATGTTAAAAAAACCCCCCAAAGCTCCTTTTCTTGCTTAAAAAAAAAAAGAAAGGAAAAATAATGGGTAAATCCTAGAGCTGTTTTTTTTCAACCTTAGCCCCTTTTAAAATGGATGGACTTCAAATCCCAGAATCCCCTAGTCAGCAGGCTTCAGACCAGCAAAATCAATTGGGGGAAACAGATTTGCTTACCGACCGCAAGATTCCCTTTTAAGAACTGCAGTGCTTCGTTTAACAACACTCAACAAAAGGTTGTAAAATGAGGTGCTCGCCTGAGAATTGCTTTGCTTAGCGGCAGAAATTTTAGACTCCTTTTTTGGTCATATAGCGAGGATTGTTTGTACATGCTTTTCCTCGAAGTATCCTAAAGGCCTCTAGTTGAGAACCATTGCCTTTAAAGCCCAGAACGTAAAATTGCACTACAACAGGCCTCTGTTTCACATAAGCCTTGAGTTGCTTTCTGAAGGCCTTCTAAGATTGGCTCTTGTTACAGTTGCAGCTGTGTGTTTTAGAGGGTGTGGGTGCCTGTGTGGCCTTGTGTATCTTGAGTGTGCAGCTGTTCTCTGCCCACTCTGTACGTAGAATCTGCGTACCTAAGTATTAGTGAGATAATAAGCATCTTGAGGTTCCAAAAGACAAGAAAAATCTTTGAATTTGCTCTGATATGGCTTGGGCCAGTTTTTTCTCAACCTCGGCAAGTTTAAGGTGGGTGGAACTTCAACTCCCAGAATCCCCCAGCCGGCTATAACTGGGCTTCTACTTGAGCGTGCGTAGGGAAGGAAATAAGAGATATAGAAGCTGTTGAAATGCATGTAGTCCTCGAGGTACGGCCCCGAGTTTATGTTGCTAAGCGAAATATTTTTGGTAAGTGAGCTTTGCCCCATTCATAAATGAAACACTGCAGTGGTTAAATGAGTAACACAGTTGTTAAGTGAATCTGGCTTCCCCATTGACTTTGTTTGTCAGAAGGTCACAAAAGTGGGTCACGTGACCCCGGGCCACTGCAACCGGCATAAATACGAATTGGTTGCCAAGTGTTTGAATTTTCACCCTGTGACCCTGGGGATGCAGCAACGGTCGTAAGTGTGGAAAATGGTCATAAGTTGCTTTTTTTCAGTGCCGTTGTAACTTCGAATGGTCACTAAATGGACTGTTGTAAGTCGACTATATACCCTGTTGTACCTTCTTTCATGTCTACATGTAAGCGTAAATTATGATGCAGGGAGAGACAAACATCTATTAGGCAGGTATAGCTAGGTACCACTTAACTATGTCTCCCAATAGAAAAAAAATATGGGTGGTGAATAAATTTTAAAAATACATAAATATTTGCAACTGGGGGGTTGAAGTGTCAGGTCTGTGGTGCTCCCCGAGTTGGTTGTTTTCTTGCAAAGAGGTTTTATTGCCCAGTTAAATCTCAACTGGTGCAGCAAACCATACAACAATTAAGGAACCGCTCTATTAACTCAGATAAGCAATCAAAGAATAAACAGCCTAATCAAGGAACGACTAAGAACACCCCTGACAGAACAATTAACCAGTGGAACAACCTGCCTCCAGAAGCGGTGAATGCTCCAACACTGGAAGTTTTTAAGAAGAGACTGGACAGCCATTTGTCTGATAATGGTGTAGGGCTTCCTGCCTGAGCAGGGGGTTGGACTAGATGACCTCCAAGGTCCCTCCCAACTTTATTATTATTATTCCCACCAACACTGGAAAGGGAAGCCACTTTTATAGAAACGAGAGCAGAACCCCACACCCTTCTAACACGGATGATGTTACCTAGTTTGGTAATGAAACGTCTGCAAGAAAACAAGCTGAGGGAGTACCAAAGGACCCCACAGTCCTCCTTCACTCTGCCAACCCCACTTCCTTCTAGCACTGATGATGTTACCTAGTTGGGTCATGAAACGTCTGCAGGGAAGCGAGCAAGCTCAGAGAGCCCCGAAGACCCCATCTACTATGTTTCTTTGGCCGGGATACAATCTGGCCACATCTGCTTGTTTTGAATTGCTTTCAACAATGCCTGTGGGTCCTGGCTGTGCTGTAGCCCACAGTATAAGTCACTCCCACAGTCTCAGCCAAAGGACTTGAATAACAGGGTGGGAAGGGACCTTGGAGGTCATCTAGTCCAACCCCCTGCTTAAACAGAAGACCCTCTATCACTTCAGACAAATGACTGCCCAATCTTTTCTTAAAAACCTCCAGTGTTGGAGCACCCACAGCTTCTGGAGGCAGGCTGTTCCACGGATTAATTGTTCCAACTATTGGGCAATTTCTCCTTAGTTCTAGGTGTCATGGTTCCCAAAGACGAAACTCTTCAAAGAACTTTGAGGCATTGTTTACCTTAAAGGATCTTTAGTCGAACAGCAGAGCTTCGGTATGTACATAGCTGAAGCCAAAATCTGACTTCCCCTCCCTTCAGCACATAGACCAGTGTTTCTCAACCTTGGCAACTTTACGATGTGTGGACTTCAACTCCCAGAATTCTCCAGCTAACACTGACATAGATCAAAGCACAATTCCCTCCTACAACAGTCATCAATCACATTCTCCAATTAGTTTGAAATGCTGGCTTCCCGCCCAGTTTTCTCTCCCGTCATTCTTTACCAGCTCTTGTTACACTAGGTTGCTTCTCTCCTTGATTAGTTTCCACCCGTTGCTTCTTGTCCTGCCTTCAGGTGCTTTGGAGAACGGCTTGACTCCCTCTTCTTTGGGGCAGCCCCTGAGAGATTGGAAGACTGCTATCATGTCCCCCCTTGTCCTTCTACTCACTAGACTAGATCTACCCGGTTCCCGCATCTGTTCTTTATACGTTTTAGCCTCCACTCCCCTGATCATCTTGGTTGCTCTTCTCTGCACTCTTTCCAGAGACTCGACCTCTTTTTTTAATATCGTGGTGGCCAAAACTGGATGCAGCATTCCGAGAGTGGCCTTGAAAGCAACATCGGTACTGTTGAACTGGGTTTATAGTGTGGCTTGTGGGTTGCAAGTCTCGAAACACAGGTGCCCTCGCGCTAACCCCCTCTTCTGTCCCTCTTTACCGGCGGCTTCTGCTTGATTAACCCGCCTGCCTTCTCTCTGCTTATCCTTTCCCTCCCTTTGCTTCTTGTCCATGACAGATATCAACCTTAACTCTCCTAACAAAGGTCTCCTGTCGGATACCATGACCGATGTGCCCGTGGACAACCTCAGTGCCGCTGCCATGGCTGCCCCGTCCAGGACCTTACCCTACAACGGTCTCACCGAAGCCGAGGAAGAAGAACTAAGGTCTGAGCTGATCAAGGTAAAAGTTGCCTTCTGCCCGTTGTTTGAAGCTTGCTCAGTCTCAGCAACCTTGTTTGGTCTAGGCCAGGGGTAGGCAACCTCGGCTCTTTTATGACTCGTGGACTTCAACTCCCAGAATTCCTGAGCCAGCCACGCTGAGGGGAAAGAGAGAAGTTTTCCAAGCTGAGCCATGCTGGCTCAGGAATTCTGGGAGTTGAGTCCACCAGTCATAAAAGAGCCAAGGTTGCCTACCCCTGGTCTAGGGGGTTAAGGTTCGGGATGGGAATCAGGATTGGGCCAATCACCAGGAGACAGTGAGTTCTAGTCCCGCTTTAGGCATGAAAGCCTGCTGGCTGACTTTGGGCCAATCACTAGGAGACTGGGAGTTCTAGTCCCGCCTTAAGCGTGAAAGCCTGCTGGGTGACTTTGGGCCAATCACCAGGAGACTGGGAGTTCTAGTCCCGCCTTAGACATGAAAACTAGCCGGGTGACTTTGGGCCAATCACTAGGAGACTGGGAGTTCTAGTCCCGCCTTAGGCGTGAAAACTAACTGGGTGACTTTGGGCCAATCACCAGGAGACTGGGAGTTCTAGTCCCACCTTAGACATGAAAACTAGCTGGGTGACTTTGGGCCAATCACCAGGAGACTGGGAGTTCTAGTCCCACCTTAGACATGAAAACTAGCCGGGTGACTTTGGGCCAATCACTAGGAGACTGGGAGTTCTAGTCCTGCCTTAGGCGTGAAAACTAACTGGGTGACTTTGGGCCAATCACCAGGAGACTGGGAGTTCTAGTCCCACCTTAGACATGAAAACTAGCTGGGTGACTTTGGGCCAATCACCAGGAGACTGGGAGTTCTAGTCCCACCTTAGACATGAAAACTAGCCGGGTGACTTTGGGCCAGTCACCAGGAGACTGGGAGTTCTAGTCCCGCCTTAGGCGTGAAAGCCAAATTTTGGGCCGTCCCTCTCTTTCTCTCAGCCCAGAGGGGAAAATGGTATTATGTATGTTTACCACCTTTAATTATTTGTAAAATAATAAAGGTGGGATAAAAATCTAATCAATAAATTAAAAACTTTAGGCTTATATTTTCTACTCCCCATCCACAAATGATTTATATTTCATTTAAGCACTTACGTGAGCCCCTTTATAATTTTTAGATCACTTTTTGGCTCTGTTGATCATGTTCCTTAGGCCATTATTAGGTAAGATAGACCATATTTCTCAACCGTGACAGCTTTTGGATGGGTGGACTCCAACTCCCAGAACTCTCCAGGAAGAAGGTAAAACACAGAGACCTTGAGGGGCCTGGAGCTCTAATCCTGTAAGGCCTAGCTGTCAATCATCCTCTGCCTCGTCTTTTGACACCGCGATGACAAAACTGCCCTGTTGCAAAACACCAACGTGCAGCATCCCTTTTATTTGCAAGATTTTCTTAGGTTCTTTAAAGATTCCCCAAAGTACAAAATACGGAGGAGAAATTTACCTTCCATTCCCCACCATCCAGTCAGAACTGAAGAAGCTCCCTGGATGAGAAGCGAAACATCTTCAAAGAAAAACAAAGTTGGGTTGCCTCGTGGAAAAGCATCTTTGGGACAAGGACGACCTGGATGGCTGAGAATCTCCCTAGACCAGGGGTAGGCAACCTCGGCTCTTTTATGACTCGTGGACTTCAACTCCCAGAATTCCTCAGCCAGCATGGCTCAGCATGGAAACCTCTCCCTTTTCCCTCAGCGTGGCTGGCTCAGGAATTCTGGGAGTTGAAGTCCATGGGTCATAAAAGAGCCAAGGTTGCCTGCCCCTGGCCTAGACATTTAGCACAACTAGTCTCGTTTCCTGCCTGGTTTATGCTGACTATAGTTTTGACACAAATGACAAGGATGACAAGGAATAAATACCACGTTTTCTTCACGAGAAGTATCATCTGAATATGGCAACTTTACAGGCACATTAAGAATGCCAACACATCAACTGCTGGATCTCACAGGATGTTTAAACAGGTTGGACTGCTTCACCAACTGCATTCCTGGGACTTCCTGAGCTGGATTAGCATTAGATATTTTTAAAAGAATTTACCTGATGTGCCAATTCAGCTCTTTGGATTAATTGGTAACCTGAGGCACAGTGCACACCTCCACAGGAGGTTGGGCATGTTAATAACAATAACAACAACAATATAATAATAATTCTGCAAGAAATATCATTTGCTTGTAAGCAAGAACTGGTGGGATCATAAAATAAAGTCATAGAAAATGATAAAATTAAATGGGTCTGGGACTTCAGAATTCAAACAGACATAACACCCCGGACCTAACAATTGTCGATAAGAAAGACAAAAAAGTCTGGATAGTGGACGTGGCAGTGCCTGGAGACAGCAGAACAGATGAGAAAGAACTGGAGAAGATCACAAAATACAAAGACCTACAAATAGAAATAGAAAGATTGTGGCAAAGGCAAGCAAGGGTAGCACCAATAGTAATAGGCGCCTTGGGTGCAATCCCAAAACAACTGGAGCACCACTTGAACACCATCATCGGCACTGACAAATTTGCCATTGGTCAATTGCAAAAGTCGGCCTTACTAGGAACAGCTTCCATCCTGTGACGAGATCTGTGATACCATCAAACATCCACATCTACCTATCCCAGGTCCTGGGTAAGGACTCGATAGGTAGAGAAAAATGCCAAATCCAGTCTGAATATCTGGCTGATTGTGCAATGATCAATCATCATCATCAAACATTCACATCTGCCTATCCCAGGTCCTTGGTAAGGACTCGATAGGTAGACAAAAATGCCAAATCCAATCTGAACATCTGGCTGACACTGCGATGATCAATAATAATAATAATAATAATAATAATAATAATAATAATAATAATAATAATAATAATAATAACGTTGGAAGGGACCTTGGAGGTCATCTAGTCCAACCCCCTGCTCAGGCAGGAAACCCTATACCATTTCGGACAAACGGCTGTCCAGTCTCTTCTTGAAAACTTCATTGCATGAATGTAACTAGAGTGCTAGACCAGTGTTTCACAACCGTGGCCCAATTGAGCCCAAAATTTCTGTTGTTGTTAAGTGAGTTTTGCCGCATTTTACAGCCATTTTGCCATAATTCTTAAGCGAATCATTAAGTCAGTAACATGGGTTGTTAAGTGAATCCGGCTTCCCCCATTGGTTTTGCTTGTCAGAAGGTCTCCAAAGGGGATCACGTGACCCCACCCAGGACACTGCGACCGTCATAAATACGAGGCAAGCGTCTGAATTTTGATCACGTGCCCGTGGGGATGCTGAAATGGTCCTAAGTGTGAAAAACAGTCATAAGTCCCTGTTAATCAGTGCCGTTGTAACTTCAAACGGTCACTAAGCGAACGGTCGTTAAGTCGAAGACTACCTGTGCGGGCTCCTGCTTTGGGGAATGATCAGATAAGAGGCAGGAGCCCACCCAGGTAGTCCTCAACTTAGCAACCATTCGTTTAGCGACCGTCCCAAGTTACAGCGGCACTGCAAAGAGCAACGTGGGGCTACCCTTGAAGAGCGTTCGGAGGCTGCAGTTGGTTCAGAATGCAGCCGCGAGAGCGATTGTGGGTGCTCCAAGGTACGCCCACGTGTCACCTGTCCTCCGCGAGCTGCACTGGCTTCCTGTGGGTCTCCGGACGCAATTCAAGGTGTTGGTTATCACCTTTAAAGCCCTTCATGGCATAGGGCCAGGTTACTTACAGGACCTCATACTGCCGCACAGTTCCCAGAGACCGGTGAGGTCCCATAGATTGGGCCTCCTTCAGGTCCCGTCGGCCAGACAATGTCGGCTGGCGGGCCCTCGGGGAAGGGCCTTTTCTGTGGTGGCTCCGACCTGGTGGAATCAACTTCCCCCCCCCCCGAGATTCGAACTACTCCCACCCTGCCGGCCTTTAAGAAAGCCATTAAAACTCTCCTGTTCCGGCAGGCCTGGGGCTGATGTCCCCGGGGGGGGGGCGGGATACGATCGGACACGCTGTATGATTGTATTATTTTATTGTTTTATTGTCAGGTTATTGTTTTAATTTTGTACGCCGCCCTGAGTCCCTTGGGATAGGGCGGCATATACATTCTAGAAATAAATAAATAAATAAATAAACAAGCATGGCTTTCTCTCTCGCCCTTTGTCCCTTGAGGTCATCTACACTGTCCCCTTACCCTGATTTTCTGCTGGGCCTGGCCTAATTCGGGCATTCTCGCCCCAATCTGTTTCTGCAGGTGGAAGAGGAGATTGGCACGCTGCGCCAGGTGTTGGCGGCCAAGGAGAGACACTGCGGGGAGCTGAAGAGGAAGCTGGGCCTGACCCCCTTGGATGACCTGAAGCAAAACCTCTCCAAAAGTTGGCACGACGTCCAGGTTTCTAACGCGTAGGTGGTCCCTTCTTTGCCATCTTGTATGTATGTTGTTGTTGTTGTTGCACACAGTGCAAGCTCTGGAGACTTACGGCAGAAGAGGAGAAGGTACAGGAAGTGCTCGACTTAAGACCGTCCAAAATTAGCACGGACCTGCCTTGGGGCTACTTAACGTCCAGATTCAAAATTACAGCAGTTGGACCCCCCCCTTCCTCTCCCCCCCCACCCCCCAAGCATTCTCATGACCAAGCTCTGGCCACTTGGCAGCCAAGCCACATTTGTGCCCCTTTGCAGCATCCCGTTTTGACCTGACCACATCATCATCAAGTTGGAAGGGACCTTGGAGGTCATCTAGTCCAACCCCCTGCTCAGGCAGGAAACCCTACACCATTTCGGACAAATGGCCGTCCAGTCTCTTCTTAAAAACTTCCAGAGTTGGAGCATTCACTGCTTCTGGAGGCAGGTTGTTCCCCTGGTTAATTGTTCTCGCTGTCAGGAAGTTTCTCCTTAGTTCTAGGTTGCTTCTCTCCTTGGTTAGTTTTCATCTGCTGCTTCTTGTCCTGCCTTCAGGCACTTTGGAGAACAGAAAAGAGTTGGAAGGGACCTTGGAGGTCATCTAGTCCAACCCCCTGCTCAGGCAGGAAACCCTATACCATTTCAGACAAATGGCCGTCCAGTCTCTTCTTAAAAACCTCCAGTGCTGGAGCATTCACCGCTTCTGGAGGCAGGTAGTTCCCCTGGTTAATTGTTCTCGCTATCAGGAAGTTTCTCCGTAGTTCTAGATTGACAGTTTCACCGAAACCTGGCATGTCCTTTTAACTTTGGCAAAACTCACAGCCAATCCTTGCTTCTCTTAATTAACTTGGGCATTCGCTTAACCGCCACCCTAAAAACGACTCTTCTTATTGTATTGGTCATGTGACTGACCCATTTTTATGACCATGATGGGCAGGCTCTATTACGGTCGTAAGTTCAAGACTGCCTGTACTTTCCTTCCATTTCCTTCCTCATGTTGAATCTGTGAAGCCCTCTGTGGTCTTTCGGCCATTGACTTACATTCTGGGTAAGGTTTCTAGTGCTCATTGGGGCATACAGGGTCTTGCCCAAGGTGGCTCCCTCCAGGGGCCTTAGAAACACTTGGCATCCTGGGAGTTGTAGTCTGAGGGTGTCCAGAGGGCTCCCAACTATGCGTATCCGGGAGAGGATTGTTTTTCTCTGAATCACAGGCCTTGATCCCCCTGAGATTTTGAGGATTTATTTTATTTAACTTCATTTATTAAGTTTCGTTTACGTCTTTATTAAATTTCATTTATTGAATGAATTCCATTTAACAAATTTTATTTATTAATTTTCACATTGAATTTTATTCAATTTCATTTTATTCATTTCACTTGAGTTTTATTCAGTTTTATTTATTCAGTTTCATCCATTGAATTTTATTTTTTCAATTTTGTTTCTTCAATTTCATCTATTGGATTTCATTTATTCAGTTTCATTTATCCAATTTCATTTATTGGTTTATTAAATTAAATTTTACTTATTGAATTTTATTCAGTTTCATTTTATTCAATCTCACTGAATTTTATTCAATTTCATCTGTTGAATTTTATTTTTTTCAATTTTGTTTATTCAGTTTCATCTATCGGATTTCATTTATTCAATTTCATTTAATAGTTTCATTTATTGACTTATTAAATTAACTTTCACTTATTGAATTTTATTCAGTTTCATTTTATTCAATCTCACTGAATTTTATTCAGTTTCATTTATTCAATTTCCTCTGTTGAATTTTATTTTTTTCAATTTCGTTGATTCAGTTTCATCTATCGGATTTCATTTATTTATTCGATTTCATTTATTTCATAATTTCATTTATGGACTTATTCAATTTCGTTTATTTATTTATTAAATAACAGAATAAAACCCTGGCAGGATTAAAACACCAGACGTTAAAAGTGAATACGTTAAAATAGAGATGGGAAACAGATCAGAAGAATCCAGACGTAGACGGGGTATAGAGGTGAGGTCTTCTATAAATGTACCAGCTGCCTTCCAAATGTTAGGGCTTTCCAGGAAACAGATTAAACTGGCCCATTTTGGGTATGTTTCATTCGATGGATAATAAATTACGGCTTGTCTCTGCACAGATGTCAACTTGACGTGTGCTTTGGGGAATTGCGCTAGCCTCAAGGACATTGTACCTTGCAGTGCTGTGTAGTGTTTTTTCTCAGGAACATAATCCAGTTCCATCTTCCCTTCCACCTATTTTTCTTGTTTTTCCTGACAGAAAAATTAATCGGGAACAGCACCCAGAAGTTGTTGTTTTTTTTGTCCTTGAAGACGTTTCACTTTTCACCCGAGAAGCTTCTTCAGTTTCGACTGAACTGAAGAAGCTTCTCGGATAAGAAGTGAAACGTCTTCCAGGAGGAAAAAAAAAAGTCTCCACAGACATCCCTCACTGGAGGCTTTTCGGAAGACATTGGACGGCCACTTGTCTGAAATGGGATAAGGTCTCCTGCCTGAGCAGGGGGTTGGACTAGAAGACCTCCAAGGTCCCTTCCAATTCTGTTATTCTGTTGGAGACTCCCTGGACAATTATAGCCATCGGGGCTTCTTGACCACAAGATCATAGACATCTAAGACAGCATTTCTCAACCGTGGCAATTCTAAGATGTGTGGACTTCAACTCCCAGAATTCCCTGGCCAGTCACCTCTCTGTGGTTCATTAAAGGCCCCCCGTCTTCTTTTTCCAGGATCTTGGATGAGTTGAGAAAAATGATATTTTCCGGGGGACCCTGCCAGGCAACCTCAAAGCAGCCTTTCTCAATCTCAGCAACTTGCTGGTTGGCTGGGGAATTCTGGGAGTTGAAGTCCACCCATCTTAGAATCGCCCCGGTGGAGCAACACCGATCTAGGATTCCTTCCGCCTCTGTTATTCTTCCTCTTGTGGTTATTTTTTTTCCCCTCTCCCCAAGCTCCTAGTCCTCATTAAAAAACAAGCAAACCTGTGATTGACCCCTGGGTTTTCCCCCCCCAGCTATGTGAAAACCTCTGAGAAACTCGGAGAGTGGAATGAGAAAGTCTTCCAGTCTGACTTGTGAGTTCCTTCTACCTTGCACGCCCGGATTTTTTCTTCTTCTTCCTGGCTCTGTCGCCCTCTCGGCCTTGCGCCCCCTTATTTTGGGGGGGACAAAGGCTGCTTGTGCGCTTGGAATATGGCAGACTCCTGTCGAGGCCTTTTGCTTCTTAAATTTTCTGATTTATTCTTCGCTGGGAAATGCGTTTCTAGGCCGTGCTGGACGCTGAATGTCTTTCCCTGGGGTTTCCTGATCCAAAAAAAAAGAGAAGTTCCACTCGGTTAGGAAAAGAAAGCCATTATGTTTCAGCGTTATTCCCACTTCCTGTTTTGCTGCCGGCCAAAACGGGGTACGGGCGATCCTCGACTTAACGACCACAATTGAACCCCACCTTTCCGTAACTCAGCGAGACAATTGTTTAAAGCAGGTTTTGCCCCACTTTACGCCATTTCTTGCCATAGTTGTTAAGTTAACGGGATGGTTGTAAAGTGAATCTTAATCCCCCCCCCGTTGACTTTGCCTGTTGGAAGGTCGCGAAAGGGGATCACGCGGCCCCCGGGGAGGCTGCCCCCGTCATAAATACGAGTCAGTTGCCCAAGTGTCCGAATTTTGATCACGTGACCCCGGGGGAGGCTGCAAGGGTGAAAAACAGCCGCAAAAAAAAAAAGTCACTCGTTTCGCTGCCGTTGTAACTTTGAACGGTCACTAAATGTTGTAAGTCAAAGACTATCGTTGTAACTTCAGAGGGTCACTAAATGAATGTAAGTTGAGGACTCCCTGTATTTGTTTTTTTTTTTTTTAATTTGATACCTTAGCACAGGGGTCTTCAAACATGGCCCTTTTATGACTTGTGGACTTGCATGACCCCCCCTGGACACTGAAACCATCGTAAATATGAACCAGTGGCCAAGCGTCCAAATTTTGCTTGCGTCAGCGTGGGGATGCTGCAACGGTCGTAAGCGTGAAAAACGGTCATAAGTCTTTTTTCGATGCCGTTGTAACTTCGCATCCGTGGTTGGTAAACCGAGGACTACCTATAACGGAAAAAAAAATTAGGAGTGACTGACTTTGGGTGTGATCTTTGCAACTTCCTACTGTGTCAATATCATTTCCATCCTTAGCCTGGTGTCCTTAGTAGCTGAGGTTACGTTGTTTTTTTATTATTATTATTACCAAAATTTTATTTATAATACAATTAAACATTGGATATAACGTTGACATTCCAGTACAGTGGGGCAAAAAAGTATTTAGTCAGCCACCAATTGTGCAAGTTCTCCCACTTAAAAAGATGAGAGAGGCCTGTAATTGTCATCATAGGTAGACCTCAACTATGGGAGACAAAATGAGAAAACAAACCCAGACAATCACATTGTCTGATTTGGAAAGAATTTATTTGCAAATTATGGTGGAAAATAAGTATGTGGTCACCTACAAACAAGCAAGATTTCTGGCTCTCACAGACCTGTAACTTCTTCTTTAAGAGGCTCCTCTGTCCTCCACTCATTACTTTATATACCTTCTTATCAAATTATTCCACATTTTACAATCGGTTCTTCATCTCTGAATATATATCTAAATTTTATATACCATATTTATTCTAAAATTACATATATTTCTATCTTGACGCTAGCCTATAATCCCAACTGTCCTTCTCGAATCATTCCAGCGGTAAAATTTATCCCAGGTTTCGAAATAAACTGATCTACATTTGTCTTTCAATACCATTGTGAGCCTGTCCGTCTCCGCACATGGTAATATTTTATGTAGTGTCTCTTCCTCTGTGGGAATTTCTTTGCTCTTCCATTTTTGCGCAACTCTAACCTAGCTGCAGTCAAGACACGTAACAGCAAATAGATCAGTGGTTCTCAACCTGTGGGTCAGGACCCCATTTGGGGTCGAACGACCATTTCACGGCGGTCGCCAAAAAACACAGTCCGCCGTTTTTTCCCCCCTTTTCCTTAGCTGTGCTACTCCCTTTTATTCTATTGGCTTTTGAAAGCCAATGGAATAGACTCTCTTGAATAGAGTCTAATTCTATTGGCTTTCCAAAGCCAATAGGAATTGTCCAGGCTGTCTCTGCCCTGCTGAGCCCGCCAAAAGTCCCATTCTGCAAACGGTGCTGCACCAGTTGAGTAGTCCTCGACTTACGACCGGTTGGGGGTCGCAGCATTAAAAAGGTTGAGAACCACTGAAATAGATTGTTCTCTTCTTGTATTTCTCCGTGGTTATTCCCAACAGGAAAAGTTCAGGTTTTAACTCTAAGTCCAACATTAATATATCTTTCAGCCATCTTCGTATCCTATTCCAATACTCACAAGCCTTTGGGCATTCCCACCACATATGGTAATATGATCCTATTGCTGTTTTACATTTCCAGCATAAAGGTGAGATATTTTTATAGTTGTGGTATTGCGGTCCGTGGCTCGCAGGCGGAGATTCAACAGGACTATTGGTGTCACATCCTGCTTGGAGCATCAAAGGGGAGGCTTTAAGCATGACGCCTTTTTCAAACTGCTCAAAGCCGCCTGTTTGCAGAGGGGTAGCTGAACCCACAAAGCAGGATGCTTGAAATGAAATGCCGCCCCTCTCAATGAAGAATTTGCACACACACACACACACACACACACACACACACACACACCGGTAAAAGTTCTTGGAACTGGTTCTTGAAAACTTCACCTTTAAACCCAGCACCATCCTGATGCAGCTGAGCAAGAAGTTAGTCACGTGCTTCCTGCTTAGGATCATGACATGTGAGAAAAAAGTTCTTCCGTCTCCAACATGGAGTGTAAAATGGTATACTATAAGGGTCTCCTGCTTTGAGGAGGGTGGGGGGGGAGTTGGACTAGAACAGGGCTTTTCAACCTTTTCACCCATTGTACCACTTTTAGGATATGGCAACATCCGAGTACCACCAGTTGCCTAGCAAGGTGTCAAAAACTTGATGACCAAAAAAATGAAAAAAGTGATAAAGTACAGGTACTCCTCGACTTACAACAGTTCGCTTAGTGACTGTTCGAAGTTACAATGGCACTGAAAAAAGTGCCCCCCAAGCCACAGCTGAGCAAGACACTTGCCTGCCCGTCCGGCGGCGCTCTTCCTCCTATCCGAGGTTTTCATTGTTGTGAGCATTTCTGTTGAGGATTGGCAGCGGGGGTGGGGTGGGGGGGTGTTTTGGTTTTTATTCCCCCCGTCTGCTGGGTGGTTGCACCAGGTTTTGGTCACTTCACATGACCCTGGGACACTGTGACCATCATAAATATGAATCAGTTGCCAAGCATCTGAATGTAAATCACAAGACCCTGGAGAGGCTGCAACATTCCAGCTGATTGGTGCTTCTTCTGGGCTCAGCAGAAGCACCAGGATCAGCGCAGAGCTCCAGCTGGAGCCTGGCGCTTCCACTGAGCCCTGACAGCCCTGAAGAAGCGCCAATCAGCTGGAAAGCGGCACTGATCCTGGCGCTTCCACTGAGCCCTGACAGCCCTGCAGCTCCAGTCGTCTCTCGCTCAGGCTTGTGTGATGCTGCCACCGGTTCAGCTCATTCCCCACCCCCGCTACCCCTTTCCTAGGATGGTCGTGTACCACCTGCCAGGTGCCAATGTACCACAGGTGGTACCCATACCACTGGTTGAAAAGCCGTCGACTAGAAGACCTGCAGGGTCCCTTCCAGCTCTTTGTTAACTCTGATGGTACATCATCAATCCGACAATCCATCAAGGCCCACCTCCAATTTGGGAGTCTCTCCAGCTGCAGGGCAACGGATGCTGGGAAATAGGCAAGGGGAAAGGAGACCACCTGGTGGCAAGAAACTATGCAATTGACTTGGAAGGGTGGCTGGGTGGTGTTGGCCTGTCAGATGGGCATGACAACCCGATGATCTAAAACAGGCGTTCTGGATGCTCCATTGCTGGAGGTTTTCAAGGAAAGATTGGACAGCCATTGGTCCGGGATGATATAAGGCAGGGGTCTTCAAACTTGGCCCTTTTATGACTTGTGGACTTCAACCCCCAGAATTCCTCAGCCAGAATTCCTCAGTCAGGTACACGTGCCTGGCTAAGGAATTCTGGGAGTTGAAGTCCACAAGTCATAAAAAGGCTAAGTTTGAAGGCCCCTGATATAAGGTGTCTTGCCATGGGCAGTGGGCTGGACTAGAAGACCTCTGAGGTCCCTTATAGGTCTAGAGTCTATGATGTCATCTTCTAGAGTAGGGCTCTTGAAACATGGCTACTTTCAAGATTTGTGGACTTCAACTCCCAGAATTCCTCAGCCAGCTGAGGGATTCTGGGAGTTGAAGTCCACAAGTCTTGAAAATTCTAGAGAAAAAAAATCTATTTATTCCTAATAGGTGGCCTTGAGTAAATTGTATAAGCAAATGAAAGAGGTGTTCTTTAATCTGTTGTATTTATAGATATGTTTCGGCCAGCAATACACTGGAGGACTGGAATGAGAAATTAACACAGTCAGAAGCGTGAGTCTCTTAACCTTCTGCATAAACACACACAAACACACGCACACACTTTGCGTAGAGCACCTCTTAACTCTTCCTTCCTCGCACTAATGACTTTTCTGCTTCCTCCCTTTGCTGTAAATGCTTCCTGGGTGCTGTGCAATAAGGCAAAATCAGGGGGAAAGGGTAAAAAAAAAAAAAAAAAGGGACCCGGGGCTTTTCTTTCAGGCTGTTTTGCTGTTTTTTTTTCCTGGGGAGATTGTGGTGGTAAAACGGTGCATTTATCCTCCTAACGTTGACTAATTCAGTCTTCCTTTGCCAGGTTGTAAAACTAATTGGGGAACTTTCCTGCACAACTTAGTGTTGCTCGTCAATAAAGGAGACTATTCGTAGCCTGGGATTGAAATGAGCGGTCCTTGGTCGCTCTCTGAGCTTGGTGGCTTGCCTGCAGACGTTTCACGAGTCAAACTAGGTAACATCATCGTTGCTAGCGCTAGTTAGTGCTGATGCTGTTACCTAGTTTGGTAATGAAACGTCTGCAAGTAAGCCACCAAGCTCAGAGAGCAATCAAAGATTCCACAGTCGTCGTCATCGTCGTCCTCCTCCTCCTTTCCACAAACCCCACTCTCTTGTAGCACTGATGATGTTACCTAGTTGGGTCATGAAACGTCTACAAGAAAACCACCAGGTTCAGAGAGCACCAAGGAACCCACAGCCCTTCTGTTCTTCCTCCTCTTCTCCCTCCTCCTCTTCCCCCTCCTCCTCCTCTTCTCAGCAAACTTCATTCCATTCTAGCACTGATGATGTTACCGAGTTTGGTCATGAAAGGTCTGCAAGAAAACCACCAAGTTCAGAGAGCACCAAGGATCCCATAGTCGTCCTCTTTCCTCCTCCCCCCCCTCCTCCCCCCCCTCCTCCTCCTCCTCCTCTCCACAAACCCCACTCTCTTCTAGCACTGATGATGTTATCTAGTTGGGTCATGAAATGTCTACAAGAAAGCATCCAAGCTCAGAAAGCACCATGGACCCCCACAGTCGTCCTCTTCCCCCCCCCTCCTCCCCATACTTCCCACTCCTTTCTAGCACTGATGATGGTCCCTAGTTGGGTCATGAAACGTCTGCAAGAAAACCAAGCTCAGAAAGCACCAAGGACCCCACAGTTCTCCTCCTCCTCCTCCTCCTCCCTTCTAGCACTGATGGTGTTACCTAGTTGGGCCATGAAACGTCTGCAAGAAAACACCCAAGCTCAGAGAGCACCACGGAGCGCTCATGTCAGCTACAAAGATTCTCCTTTATTTATCTCATTGGCCTATTTCGAAAGCCCCCATTAAGATGAAGCAAGTTAAATTTTACATGCCGTTTTATCGACAGTCCTCGATTTGCAATCATTTGCTTAGCAGCTGTTCAAAGTTACAGTGGCACTTAAAAAAAAAGCAACCTGCCGCCAGTCCTCAAAGTTACAACTGTTGCAAGCATCCCCGCTGTCCCGTGATCAAAATCTGGGGGCTTGGCAAGTATTTCAAACGGTTGCAGCAGCATCCCAGGGTCGTTTCCGATCGCCATAAGCAAAGTCAGTGGGGAAGCTGGATTCGTTTAACGACCACATGATTGGCAGGGTTTATTTAACCGTGGCAAAAAAAAAAAAGCTCGTAAAATTGGGCACGGCTCACTTAACCGCCACTGCCGCCTTGCGGAAATTCTGAGTTGTACGCCGAGGACCTGCTCTCCTTTTCATTTAATTCGGTTTTAATCCTGTTGCAGCCTTGCAACATTTGAGCAGTTCAAACGTCGCAGCGCCAGGAACCCCAGAACTGAAAACCGCAAGGCCCCGCCTCAATCCCTCTTCCCAAGAAATAGGACTCCTGGGACAGCTTCATTCCCAAAGGAACTTTTATTAGGAGAAGTTGACGGCAGGCATAGAAGGTGGGATCTGAGAGTTTCCCGTGCGAATCAATAGGTTAAAAGGGTAACTGGCAAACCCCCATCCCAATAGTCAATCCGGCCCGTTCAAACGGCCCAATCCCCAGGTGTGAATCCGCTGTGGGAACGGAGCTGATAAGGCGCCGTTCCCAAGGCTGTTAGGTCTTCAGGCCTCTTCTTCCGCAGCTAAAGATAAGGCAGACGGCCAGAGGCACATTCCATTCTCACCCCAGGCTGGCATCAAGGGAAATAGATCAAAGAACAAGTAGATGGAGCAGTGGTTCTCAACCTTTTTAATGCCACGACCCCCCCAACCGGTTGTAAGTCGAGGACTACTCAACCGGTTGTAAGTCGAGGACTACTCAACTGGTGCAGCACTGTTTGCAGAATGGGACATTTGGCAGACTCAGCAGGGCAGAGACAGCCTGGACAATTCCTATTGGCTTTGGAAAGCCCATAGAATTAGACTCTATTCAAGAGAGTCTATTCTATTGGCTTTCAAAAGCCAATAGAATAAAAGGGAGTAGCACAGCTAAGGAAAAGGGGAGAAAAAATGGCGGACTGCGTTGTTTGGCGACCCCCGTGAAATGGTCGTTCGACCCCAAATGGGGTTGAGAACCACTGAGATAGAGGAAAGTGGAGAGGATATATCGTAGCGCCCATCTCCCCCCCCCCCAGGATCATGGCAGATCCCGCAAGAAGAAAAAAATCAGCCCCCTCCCAACAACCGGGTTCTAACATACACCATGGAAATGGTGAAAACAAAACTGAAAGAGGGATAGAAGTCATGAGAAAAAGGATTGCTGCAGATGACCTTATTGAAATTGCCAAATGACCGCAGGGTTCATTGAACTGCAGCCCCCAAAAGTTCCAAAATTGACTTTCCAACGGTCAACACGGCAGTAATGGCCAGGCTCAGTTATGTTTGTAAGCCGAGGACTTGCCGTACGTGGATTGGCCCCACAATTGTCGATTTGACAATTCTAAATTGTGGAATTTAGATTGTTAGCAAAGTGGACATGTTTGCCTAACACGGTACAGGTAATCCTTGACTTAAACAACTATTCGTTTAGTGACCAAAGTTACAACAGCGCTGAAAAAAAGGGGTAATTTTAAGAATCCACTGTTCTACTTGGCGCCCATACCCGTAACGGCACTGAAAAATAGTGACTTATGACCGTTTTTCACACTTAATGACCCGTTGCAGCGTCCCCAGGGTCACGTAATCAAAACTCGGACGCTTAGCAACTGACTCGTATTTATGACGGTCGCAGTGTCACTGGGTCATGTCATCGTCTTTGGCGATCTTCTGATAATCAAAGTCAGCGGGGAAGCCAGGTTCACTTAACAACGTGTTACTAACTTAATAGCTGCAGCGATTCACTTAGCAACTGTGGCAAGGAAGGTGGTAAAACGGGGCAACATTCACTTAGTGAATGTTTTACTTAGCGACAAAAATTTGGGGCTCGGTTGTGGCCGTAAAGGCGAGGACTACCTGTATTCTGTGAATCGGAAATACATTTTGTCTTTGGATCTCTGAAGTCATTCCTGTAAATCAGGGGTCTTCAAACTTGGCCCTTTGATGACTTGTGGACTTCAACTCCCAGAATTCCTCAGCCAGGCACGCATGCCTGGCTGAGGAATTCTGGGAGTTGAAGTCCACAAGTCATCAAAGGGCCATGTTTGAAGATCCCTTGCTATATAGCAGTAGTTCTCAACCTGTGGGTTGAGATTCCATTTGGGATCGAACGACCATTTCACGGGGGTCGCCAAACAATGCAGTCCACCATTTTTTCCCCCCTTTTCCTTAGCTGTGCTCCTCCCTTTTATTCTATTGGCTTTTGAAAGCCAATAGAATAGACTCTCTTGAATAGAGTCTAATTCTATTGGCTTTCAAAAGCCAATAGGAATTGTCCAGGCTGTCTCTGCCCTGCTGAGCCCACCAAAAGTCCCATTCTGCAAACGGTGCTGCACCAGTTGAGTAGTCCTTGACTTACGACCGGTTGAGTAGTCCTCGACTTACGACTGGTTAAGGGTCGTGGCATTAAAAAGGTTGAGAACCACTGCTATATAGGGTCTCCTGCTTGAACAAGGGGTTGGACTAGAAGATCTCCAAGGTCCCTTCCAGTTGTGTTCTATTCTGATTGAGATTAGAACCCAGGTCTACCTATTTCTGCATCTCCCTTCATCCTGGAACTTTTAACTTTTGCTTCCTCAGCTGTATTTCCTGCAGTGGCGCCAGCAAGCTTGCAAATTTCCTGGCCGAGGAATAAAAAAGCAACTCTCCCTATTTGAAGTAATGATTGAGCAATGCTGAGCAGAGAATTTTATTTCCTGTCTTGGACTCGGAGCGAACACCTCTCTTGCAGATGTAACCTAGCTCAGAGTCCAGATTGAAGCTCAGTGTTTCTCAACCTTTTAGCTGGGTGGACTTCAACTCCCAGAATTCCCCAGCCAACCAGCATGCTTAGATGTGGCCTGACTTGAGAAGCGCTATTGTAGCTTGTCAATTCCAGAGCTAGGTTGAACTGTGCCGTGTTTGGATGGAATGGATCCAAATGCATTAAAGCTATTAATTTAATTATTATAAAATAAGTATTATAAATTGGTTTTCACTCCGGTGGATGGAAACTAATCAAGGAGAGAAGCAGTCTAGAACTAAGGAGAAATTTCCTGACAGTGAGAACAATTAATCAGTGGAACTGCTTGCCTCCAGAAGCGGTGAATGCTCCAACACTGGAAGTTTTTAAGAAGAGACTGGACAGCCATTTGTCTGAAATGGTATAGGGTTTCCTGTCTTGAGCAGGGGGTTGGACTAGATGACCTCCAAGGTCCCAGCTCTTTATCATTCTGCTATTCTTTTGCAGAAAGGAGAATGGTTGAGTGCTGTGCTTTTATTGGTGTGTATGTGTTTGTTAGGTCTAGCAGAGATGGGACGAGCATAACCATATGTAGTCCTTGATGTACGACTGGTCACTTAGTGATCCTTCAAAGTTACAACAGACTTGAGTACAGGTAGTCCTTGACTTACCACCTTTTGTTTAGTGATGGTTTAGTTTATTTAGTTTACGTGGGGACAGTTCAAAGTTACAACGGCCCTGAAAATTGTGACTTACAACCGTTTTTCACACGTAACAACTGCTGCAGAATCCTTGTCCTCATTGATTTACATTCAGATGCTTGGCCACTGACTCATATTTATGACGGTGGCAGCGTCGTGGGGTCGTATGATCCTCTTTTGCGACCTGACAAAATAAATGGGGGAAGGCCAGATTCACTTAACAACGGTGTGACTAACAACTGCAGTGATTCACTTAACAACTGCGTAAAACGAGGGCAAAACTCACTAAACAAATGTTTTGCTTAGCCACGGAAATTTTGGCCTCAGTTGTCATAAATCGAGGACCGCCTGTATTTATGACTTGGATTCAAAGTTCCGACAACTAGACCTGCCCTACAGTCACGTGATCACATTTTTGACACTCAACAACCGACCCACACTTACGACTGTTTGCCGTGTCCCCTGGTCACATGACCACAGTTTAAAGTTTTGCCAAAAAAACTGACATTTATTTCTGCTTTTTGGCAAAAAACAAAACAAAACAAAAAAAACCCCACGCTGCGGACAACGGCTTCGCTTAATGATCATTGCAATTCAATTAATGACCGATGTAAAAAAGGTGGTAAAATCAGGTCGGTTGGAGTAGAAGACCTCCAAGGTCCCTTCCAATTTTGCTGTTATGTTAGAGTCGTGGCCAAAATTGTGGAAACCTTTTGGGAAAAGTGTACAGTAGAAACCACCTTTGGTTAAGTTTCCACCCATTTTTCTTCTAATTTATTTATAACTGTAGCCTTGTTCACTTAACAATACTATTTTGCATCGCTTTCTGAGCAACTGGTCAACTCTTTGCACCATTCCTTTAATTTTATTATGTTTTACAAGTTCACTAAATGAAAGAACACAAAAAAACCCAACCGACTTGATAGCAATCACATAACACACTGACAAATGTCCTCCTCTCAGCTTCAATACAGGACATCGATAACTGGATCCTACTGTGATCTGATTGGCTCATGGCCAAAACAAGATGATACCTGATTGGCTCTCTAAACACTCATGCTCATTGGCTACAATCAGATGAAGGAAAGCTCCCTGAGATCAACCTAAGCAAGTTGGTCTTCCTTTTCCTGGTTATTTGGCTGTACCTTTTCATAGAATACAGTACAGATAATTGAACAAACTTTGTTGCATTACATTCTTGATTAAATTATCTTTGCATCGATATATAATTTTATGGTACTACTCCCCCCCAAAAAAGTGGTGTTATTAGCCATCAAACCTCAAAAATACATTTTTCCCAAAAGGTTTTCACAATTTTGGCCACTACTGTATATTCTGTTCTAATGCCCGGCCTGACCTATAATTAGGGGCTCAGTTAAACAGTTGTGAATTGAGGACTATGTGTAGTAGCATTTCCAGACAAGTCAGTTTGCACTGGGCATTGTATTTGTGGGTATTTTGGAGACTCCCATGCTGCAATCTACAATCTTTCTCTACAAAATACTGAGCAGTGGATGGAGATTCCACAAGTATCTGCCTTTCAGCGTAGCTAGGTTTTGTGCTGACAGCGATTGCGGATGTGAGCACACTTCCTCAATTTGTGTTGAAGATTAACAACCTTGGTTGGTCCGAATTGTTGGAGAAATCACAAAACGGGCAGTCCAGGCCTTCAAAAGATAGACTGCTTTTACACAGTGTAAAATTGCAATTTTTGAGGGCAACTGAGGAGGAAGCCTATCACTTCCTGAGCATAACCTTTGCCTGTTTCTCTTCTGGATTAATCCATCAACATTGACTTCTTTTTTTTAATTATAAACTTTTAATGCTGTTCTCCAGCCTCTCAACATTCAAAGTGTTTTGGAATTTCCTGAAAGTCAGGAATGTCTGCTTTTTTGTTGTTGTTGTTGATGATGCTACAAAAGAAAAGTGTGGAGTCATGATAGGAGTCTTCCGATATTTGAGGGGCTGCCCCAAAGAAGAGGGGGGCAGTCTATTCTCTGAAACACTTGAAGGCAGGACAAGAAACAACGGATGGAAACTAGTCAAGGAGAGAAGCAACCTAGAACTAAGGAGAAACTGACAGTTAGAACAATTAACCAGTGGAACTACCTGCCTCCAGAAGCGGTGAATGCTCCAACACTGGAAGTTTTTAAGAAGAGACTGGACAGCCATTTGTCTGAAATGGTATAGGGTTTCCTGCCTGAGCAGGGGGCTGGACTAGATGACCTCTGAGTTTCTTTCCAACTATGTTATTCTGTTTGTTCTGAAGTGACAAAAGTGCAAAAGAGACTAGCTATCCTCTATATGGAGGCAAAGGGAGATCATCTAGAAGTGGCTTGGATTTGTGCAACTCAGATATGGTAGCTAATTTGAAAGGCGTGTGGGCGATAATCTCTTCCATTCCTATATGATAGGCAGATAGATATCAATAATGTTAATCAGCGCTTCCCCCCCCTTGTTTGTGATCTCCTTAATGCAAAAAAATATATGAAGAAACATTTGATGGTAACGGCAGATAAACCAGAATAAAGAGTGTTAATCCTCCTTAAATCATTATCATCAACCAGCCAGAGAACATAAAAACTGCTTTGCAGCCTTGCTGGAACTCAAGTGGTCCTTGACTTATAACCATTTGTTTAGCACAGGGGGCTTCTAAACTTGGTCCTTTTACAACTTGTGGACTTCAACTCCCAGAGTTCCTCAGCCAGGCACTGCCTGGCCGAGGAATTCTGGGAGTTGAAGTCCACGTCATAAAAGGGCCAAGTTTGAAGACTCCTGGTTTAGTGACTGTTTGAAGTTATAACGGTGTGGGGGACTTGCAACCCTTCCTTGCACTTACGACCGTCACAGCATCCCCACAGTCACGCGGTCAATATTCTGTAGCTGGGCCACAGGCCTACCTTTTTCCAGAGTCATGTGATCACTATTTGCAATCTTCCCAGCAGTGATTTCCTTAACAACCATGATTACAAAAAAAAAAAAAAAAGTTGTAAAATTGGCCGTGACTCATTTAATAACCTCTTTGCTTAGGGGTGGAAATTCTGATCGCGTAGTCGTAAGTTCAGGACTTTGCTGTATCTTGAGCATCTCTCAAAATCTGGCCACAAGGAAACGTGTCTTCAGAAGGATCACCTCTTTGCTTGAACCTGTTTGCTAGCCTGTTTCGCTCCCAGCAGTTGTTGCAAAGCTTTGGAAACCCTCCAGTTGTGTGCGCAGGATGGGTACACGCCTCTGCTTTTCCTGCCTCCTGTTGTTCAAGCGCCAGCTGTGTCTCCCTTTGCTCCTTAGAGACCGCTCTCGGCTAATGACGGCCTTCCTTCCCAATTCTTGTTTTTCCTTTAGGTATAAGAAGACCCAGGAAACGCTCTATCAGGCCGGGCAGAAGACTTCAGCTGCTCTGTCCAACGTGGGTTCTGCAATCAGCCGGAAGTTTGGAGATATGAGGTAAGGGATTGAGTAAGCATCTCTCTTTGGGATTTTTTTTTTTTTTTTTGGTTTTTTTTTTTTACATAATCCTTCCAAAGAATTTTGTCAGGTACAAAAAGATCAGGTCCACGCATGAAGGTGCAACTAAACCAGTGTTTCTCAGCCTTCACAATTTTAAGGCATGTGGACTTCAACTCCCAGAATTCCACAGCCAGCAATGCTGGCTGTGGAATTCTGGGAGTTGAAGTCCACATGCCTTAAAATTGTCAGGGTTGAGAAACACTGAACTAAACTGATTTATTGCTACATTGCCCATGCACAGGAAGCCTTCTTAACTCCTGACTACCACCTTGTTGTTGTTAGTTGCGAAGTTGTGTCTGACCCATCGCGACCCCATGGACAACGTTCTTCCAGGCCAGGGGTAGGCAACCTTGGCTCTTTTATGACTCGTGGACTTCAACTCCCAGAATTCCTGAGCCAGCATGGCTCAGCTTGGAAACCCCTCCCTTTCCCCTCAGCGTGACTGGCTCAGGAATTCTGGGAGTTGAAGTCCACGAGTCATAAAAGAGCCAAGGTTGCCTACCCCTGCTCCATGACTTCCTGTCCTCTACCATCTTCTGCCATTGAAGCTCTTGCCTACTGCTTCAGTGACTCCATCCAGCCACCTCCTTCTCTGTCGTCCCCTTCTTCTATTGCCCTCCATCTTTCCCAGCATCAGGCTCTTCTCCAGCGAGTCCTTCCTTCTCATTAGGTGGCCAAAGTTCTTGAGTTTCCACTTCAGGATCTGGCCTTCTAAAGAGCAGTCAGGGTTGATCTCCTTTAGGACTGACCGGTTTGATCACCTTGCAGTCCAGGGGACTCGCAGGATTCAAAGGCCTCCATTCTTTGGCGCTCAGCCTTTCTTATGGTCCAACTTTCACAGCCATGCATTGCAATTGGGAAAACCATGGCCTTGACTATACGTACTTTTGTTGGCAGGGTGATGTCTCTGCTTTTTAGTATGCTGTCTAGATTTGCCATAGCTTTCCTCCCCAGGAGCAAGCGTCTTTTAATTTCTTGGCTGCAGTCCCCATCTGTGGTGGTCTTGGAGCCCAGGGAGATAAAATCTGTCACTGCCTCCATTTCTTCCCCATCTATTTGCCAGGAATTGAGAGGGCCGGATGCCATGATCTTGGTACCACCTGCTTGGAGTTAAATAAGGGTCAATGGCATTCAAGGAAGGTAGGGCTTAGTTCGCTTGTGGCTATGTAGGGATTCTAGGCTGATTTCTTTCTTGACTTCTTCATAGACAGAAAGAGGCGACAGAGTCAGGTAGGAAAGAGTACAATAAAGGTGGTTTATTGCTAAACAGCCAATGTACAGGAATCCTCTTCAGTCACCTGCTTGGGGTGAGATAAGAGTCCATGGAATTCAAGGGGGGGAGGTTGGACGGTGAGTTCTAGTCCTGCCTTAGACATAAAAGCTGGCTGGGTGACTTTGGGCCAATCATTAAGAGACGCTGACTTCTAGTCCTGCCTAAGGCATGAAAGCCAGCTGGGTGACTTTAGGCCAATCACCAGGAGATGCTGACTTCTAGTCCCGCCTTAGGCATAAAAGCTGGCTGGGTGACTTTGGGCCAATCATTAGGAGACACTGAGTTCTAGTCCCGCCTTAGGCATGAAAGCCAGCTGGGTGACTTTAGGCCAATCACCAGGAGACGGTGAGTTCTAGTCCTGCCTTAGGCACAAAAGGCAGCTGAGTGATCTTGAGCCATTTTCTTTCAGTCCAACCCACCTCACAGGGTTGTTGTTATGGGGAAAAATCGGAGGAGGAAGGAGTATTGTGTCTGTTCGCCACTTCGAGTGGTTTATGAAAAAAATAAAATGGCGGACTATAACCAGATAAATGAAAATATCGAGTAGCTAGAGCAGCTGCCTCGCGTGTTGTGACATGATTGTGGTCCAGCAAAGGACAATATTTCACTCACCACAACCCTGATTTTTCAGGAACTCTCCTTTCCCCATCTGGCTGGGATTATCTGGGTGGTAAGTGCATGCGATGCTCTGATCACATAAACACCCTTTTGAGGTCTGTGTGCACTTTTACAATTTGTGTGTCGACGTGGCGCCTTCCTCCCTTTCCAAAGCGTACGCTTTTGCTCAAACACATTGAAAGGATTAGGTCAGGGGTAGGCAACCTCGGCTCTTTTATGACTTGTGGACTTCAACTCCCAGAATTCCTGAGCCAGCATGGCTCACCTTGGAAACCTTTCCCTGTCCCCTCAGCATGGCTGGCTCAGGAATTCTGGGAGTTGAAGTCCACGAGTCATAAAAGAGTCAAGGTTGCCTGCCCCTGGGTTAGGTGTTGACCTTTAATCTCTCCACGTTTCCTCTGCAAACCGATATTGACCTAGGATGCCTGAGGACTGTAAGTTTTGACGTACTTTGTAGACCAGTGGTGGCGAACTATGGCACGTGTGCCAGAGGCAGCACTTAGAGCCCTCTCTGTGGGCACGCACGCCATGCCCTGAAGATGGCAACCGTCCCTCTTAAAACCAGCTGCCTGCTATCTTGCCGAGGTCCCACATGGCCGGATGTATCCCAGCACCCATGCGCTCACTGGCCTCTGGGTGCAGGGTCCGATGGTGTCTGGCAGCAGCTGCCCCGGCCCCTGCCTCACCTTGCCCTGTGGCAATGGCACCTCCGCCCTGCCTCGCCTCACCCAGCAGGACGAGCCTCCTGCCCACCGCCCCACCTGCCAGAGACCCCCTGGATCTCCCCCCACCCTGTCCAGCCCCCATAGGCGTCCCTCCCATGAGCAACATTGAGGTGATCATGCTCACCTTGGCCACACCCACCCAATCTGCCATGACCACCACAGCCACGCCCACTTGGCACCCGGCAATAAATAAGTGGGTTTTGGGTTGCAGTTTGGAGTTGGAGTCCACATGTCTTAAAGTTGCTGAGATGGAGAAACAATGGACTAGGCCGGGGTGGGCAACCTTGGCTCTTTTATGACTGGTGGACTTCAACTCCCAGAATTCCTGAGCCAGCCTGGCTCAGCTTAGAAACCTCTCCCTTTCCCCTCAGTGCAGCTGGCTCAGGGATTCTGGGAGTTGAAGTCCACCAGTCATAAAAGAGCCAAGATTGCCTACCCCTGCACTAGATAGAATAGGGCTCTTCAAACATGGCCCTTTTATGACTCGTGGACTTCAACTCCCAGAATTCCTGAGTCAGCATGAGGGAACTATGGCCCTCTCATGACTCGTGGATTTCAACTCCCAGAACTCCTGAACCAGCATGGGGGAACTATGGCCCCCTCATGACTTGTGGACTTCAACTCCCAGAATTCCTGAGCCAGAATAGCTCAGCATGGAAACCTCTCCCTTTCCCCTCAGCATGGCTGGCTCGGGAATTCTGGGAATTGAAGTCCACAAGTCAGAAAAGAGCCAAGGTTGCCAGCCTAGGCCTAGGCTGCTTTATGACTTGTGGACTTCAACTCCCAGAATTCCTGAGCCAGCTGGCTCAGCTTGGAAACTCTCCCTTTTCCCTCAGCATGGCTGGCTCAGGAATTCTGGGAGTTGAAGTCCACACCTCTTAAAGTTGCTGAGGTGGAGAAACAATGGACTAGGCCAGGGGTAGGCAACCTTGGCTCTTTTATGACTCGTGGACTTCAACTCCCAGAATTCCTGAGCCAGCGTGGCTCAGCTTGGAAACCTCTCCCTTTCCCCTCAATGCGGCTGGCTCAGGGATTCTGGGAGTTGAAGTCCACCAGTCATAAAAGGGCCAAGGTTGCCTACCTGTGAGCTAGAGGATTCTGGGAGCTGAGATCTGCATGTCTGTTAAGTTACCAAGGTTGAGAAAGAATGCCACCGGTGGTATTGGTTCTCCTGCTCCACAGTGGGGGGAAATTTTGACTTCTCTGGCAGCCGCAGAGCCTTCCACCAAAACGTCTCCAGTTTTTGATGCAGAAAGACTCCAAAATATTAAAGCCACCCTGTTTTCAAGTTTATCTTATGTGATCAGAGGTTACGTGTTGTGGTGAGCTCCTTTTCTTAAAAGGGCAGAAGTCTTTCCTGCTCAGCTTGTTTTTACTTTGTGATCTCTTTGAAGTTTTACATCCTTTCCCCACCAATCTCTGTGTGTTCCTTTGCTTTCCTGGTGTGCCTGTGGTGTGATCCTCAGGTTTGGCTGCTTAAAATGGGTCAACAGCTCTGGATGTCCATCCCGAATTGGGGAGACCTAGGAAAACCTCTGATCTTGGCAAATCTGAACGGCTGTGGCGTATAGACACTTATTTAAAAAAAATAATAGTAGTAAAGTTGGAAGGGACCTTGGAGGTCATCTAGTCCAACCCCCTGCTCGGGCAGGAAACCCTACACCATTTCGGACAAGTGGCTGTCCAGTCTCTTCTTAAAAACTTCCAGTGTTGGAGCATTTACTGCTTCTGGAGGCAAGCTGTTCCACTGATTAATTGTTCTCACTGTCAGGAAGTTTCTCCTTAGTTCTAGGTTGCTTCTCTCCTTGATTAGTTTCCACCCGTTGCTTCTTGTCCTGCCTTCAGGTGCTTTGGAAAATAGCTTAATTCCCTCTTCTTTATGGCAGCCCCTGAGATATTGGAATACTGCTATCATGTCCCCCCTTGTCCTTCTCTTCGTTAAACTAGACATACCCAATTCTAGCAACCGTTCCTTATATGTTTTAGCCTCCAGTCCCCTAATCATCTTTGTAGCTTGTAGAACTTGTAGCTTTGTAGCTTTGTAACTTGGTAGAAAAGACTAGGAGCTCAGGTTTTTTTTCTAAACCAGGTTATTCCAATCCAGTCCAATTCAGGTGTGTTATATATTATTCCCATTTCCCCCTCTCAGCTTGGCCAGTGGCTCTTTTGCCTGGGGATGGTGGGAGAAACTAGCTGGTCTACGTTTAAAGCATCAAACTGTAGCTATTTTTTTTTTTTTTGATCCAATGGGAGTTAATTATAAAATCAACTTCCTTTGGATTTAGGCAAGAATTAGTTTAGTCTAGTGATTAAGGCACCAGGCTAGAAACCAGGAGTCGGTGAGTTCTAGTTCTGCCATTGGCATGAAAGCTGGCTGGGTGACTTTGGGCCAGTCACCAGGAGATGGTGAGTTCTAGTTCTGCCATTGGCATGAAAAGCTGGCTGGGTGACTTTGGGCCAGTCACCAGGAGATGGTGAGTTCTAGTCCCGCCTTAGGCATGAAAGCCGGCTGGGTGACCTTAGGCCAGTCCGTGTCTCTCAGCCCAACCCGCCCCACAAGGCTTTTGCTGTGGGGGGAAATAGCAGGAAGAAGCAGTACTAAATACGGTCATTGCCTTGAGTTGTTTATAAAAAAAAATAAAATAAAGGTGGGCTATAAATAAATAAGCCCACCTTTAATTCCTCTTCTCATTCCTACAGTGATGAACAAGAGGGGCAGTTTAAAAAAAAACTATGAAGTGCCTTAAAATAACCTGGAATGATGTGGTGGCTTTGTCAAAGATTCCCAGGTTGGTTTGCTAACGCCTGTCTTGGAAAACTGGTTTGCAACATGGCTGTATCCTCTGCTTTTCTCCTGCCCAAAGATGCCATCACACGTTGTTGTCTTGAGCTGTGTGTTGGTGACGCCTGGGGCAAAAGGTCAGGGTGTTCCTTCATTGTACATTCAAGCCTGATTCCAGTCCTTTGAGGGAAGGCGTGTCTTCTATCATCTATAATTCACAATTAAATACGCCCAAAGGGTCTGTTCAAAACTCAGATTTCTTGGCCTTTTCCTTGAAAACGTTTCGTTTCTCATCCAAGTTCTGAAGAAGCTTCTCGGATGAGAAGTGAAACGTTTTCAAGGGGAAAAAACCCAAAGTCCAGTTGCTTTTTGAACAGCGCCTTTGGGACAACCATGACCTGGATGATGGAGAATCTCCATTGACAATTGAACGAGTCATTTCCAATGTGAAGATGGCCTAGAGCAGGGGTAGGCAACCTTGGCTCTTTTATGACTCATGGACTTCAACTCCCAGAATTCCATTCCAGTATGGCTCAGCTTGGAAACCTCTTCCTGTCTCCTCAGGGTGTCTGGCTCAGGAATTCTGGTAGTTGAAGTCCTCCCATCGTCAAGTGGCCAAGGATGAGAAACACTTAAGTCTAGGCTAGGGGTAGGCAACCTTGGCTCTTTTATGACTCGTGGAGTTCAACTCCCAGAATTCCATTCTACCATGGCTCAGCTTGGAAACCTCTCCCTTTTCCCTCAGCGTGGCTGGCTCAGGAATTCTGGGAGTTGAAGTCCACGAGTCATAAAAGAGCCAAGGTTGCCTACCCCTGGCCTAGAGGCCACGTAGCAGATGTTGGTGGACCTGTTGGCTTCGTTGGGGTGGTGGGCAGAAGTTCTCCAGCACCCTTGCTTGAACTCATCCAAGCTGTTTTGAGGTTTGCCACGGACGTTTAGATGGCTCAGTGACTTCATTGATGGAAGCCAACCTTCGTTTCACTTTGTGGCCTGGACGCTACCGTGATAAATAAATATTTGGGAAGTAGGAGCTTCATCCTCAAAGCGTTTCTTCTCCTTTTAAGAGTCATCTCTCGGTGAATGGTTTGAGGCCCGAGTGTCGAATAGAGAAGGTGGGCTTGAAATGTGTCCCTAACTTTTTTTTCTTTTTCCTTGTTCTCAATTTCTGCTGCCATTGGATTCTGCCAGGGCTCATCCCTTCTCACATTCTTTTAGGTAAGGCTTGGCAGAAGTGTCGTCTGCATGGGGACTCTGGGCCAGCAAAATTGCTGTCATGGAATAGGGCAGGGGTAGGGAACCTTGGCTCTTTTATGACTCGTGGACGTCAACTCCCAGAATTCCTGAGCCAGCATGGCTCAGCTTGGAAACCTCTCCCTTTTCCCTCAGCATGGCTGGCTCAGGAATTCTGGGAGTTGAAGTCCACGAGTCATAAAAGAGCCAAGGTTGCCTACCCCTGGAATAGGGGGACGAGGAGAGCCCCAAGCCAGACACTGGATCCGTTCATGGCACCGAGTTGCACCTCCTGTGAAAACATTGTCTCCATTCAGTTTCTTTCGACCAGGCAAAATTACAGGAGTTCCTCGACTTATGAACACAATGTACCCCAAAATTCCTGTTGCTAAGTGAGACATTTCAGCGAGTTTTGTCCCATCTTATGGGGATGCTGCAGTGGTCATAACTGTGAAAAACGGTCACTTTTTCCTCCCGTTGCCGCTGTAATGTCAAATGGTCACTGAACAAATGGCTGTATGTCGGGAATCGCTTGTAATTCTCCCTTTGACCCACCTCTGAGAAGGTCCCAGAATGCTTTGCAACTCCCTGCGCAGCTGCTGGGAGGGCGGCCACCAGCAGGGTGTGACGTTATCCACGGTTTAAATGCTTCTAACATTTCCTTCCTTTCCCCTTAACGCTTCCGAGTAGCAGTTACTCCATTCGCCATTCGATAAGTATGCCAGCCATGAGGTAATGTAGCAAAAGTGCCGTTTCTTCTAATACGATGTTGGCAAGGGGTATCTGGGAGGGCCACGATGGGTTGGGGGTCATTTAACAGCATGGAGCATTAGCAGTAACTTGTAGCCTGCCACTTGATCTTCCAGGTGGTCCTAATGGGAGCTGCTACAGAAATTCTAAAGTTTTATATCTGTATTTCTGCCCTTTGACAAGTGTAAGATGTGTGGACTACAACTCCCAGAATTCCCCAGCCAGCTGTGCTGGCTGGGGAATTCTGAGAGTTGAAGTCCACACATCGTACACTTGCCAAACTTGAAAAATACCATTTTAGGGCCTCTTCCTTGTTGTTTCCATGTTCAGTTTGGTGAAATAGCAATTTTATTTTTTTGTAAGCCATCTAGAGTCACCGAAAATGAGTGTGGGTGGCCATGTAAATTCTGATAGATAGATAGATAGATAGATAGATAGATAGATAGATAGATAGATAGATAGATAGATAGATAGATAGATAGAATATGTGATTAGACAGACAGATAGATAGGTGGAAAGCATGTTTGTCAACCGGAAATTACCTGGTGGTGGTGGGACTTGACCATTCAGCAATTACCAAGTTGGGGTAATTGCTATTGGGGTTTTGAGCTGCTTTCTAGGAAAGTTGGAATCTTAAAATTTCTGAACTAGCTGCAGTTTGGTTTTTGACACGAGCCTGCCTGGAAATTGTGAGGACATCTTTCTCTTTCTGGGGGGGAAAAAAAAAAGTTTGCATGTTTCTCATTCAACCGAGAATTAATTTCCTCTGCGGCTTTTTAAGGGTGCTTTTGTTTAGCTTCCCTTGTTTTTTTCTAGATCGCAATCATCCAGAGTTCAGCAAATTGTGGAGGTGATAAATTGTGGGAAGTGGGTTCTGGGGTGCTGTCCAGATACCGCAACCTACCCCAAGATGGCCTGCCTGAACAAAGAATGCAAACTTGTAGTACCCTCTTTCTGTTTTATTTTTTTTTAACATAAATGATCTTTTTCTTTTGCAAGAAATTCTGCAACTTTCAAGTCTTTTGAAGACAGAGTTGGAACCATAAAGGTAATTTTCCTCCCATCATACCTGGGAGAAAAACCACTTCCTCCTCCTCTTCCTCTTCCTCTTTCTCCTCCTCCTCCTCCTCCTCTTCCTCCTCCTCCACCACCACCACCACTAGAAAATGGAGAGCCAATTAGTGATTAAGGCACTAGAAACCAGGAGACTGTGAGTTCTAGTCCCGTCTTAGGCATGAAAGCCAACTAGGTGACTGGGCCAATCACCAGGAGACAGTGAGTTCTAGTCCCGCCTTAGGCATGAAAACCAGCTGGGCGACTTTGGGCCAATCACCAGGAGACAGTGAGTTCTAGTCCCGCCTTAGGCATGAAAACCAGCTGGGCGACTTTGGGCCAATCACCAGGAGATGGTGAATTCTAGTCCCGCCTTAGGCATGAAAGCCAACTGGGTGACTTTGGGCCAATCACCAGGAGACAGTGAGTTCTAGTCCTGCCTTAGGCATGAAAGCTGGCTGGGTGACTTTAGGCCAGTAACCAGGAGACAGTGAGTTCTAGTTCCGCCTTAGGCCTGAAAGCCAACAGGGTGACTTTGGGCCTGTCACCAGGAGACAGTGAGTTCTAGTCCCGCCTTAGGCATGAAAACCAGCTGGGCGACTTTGGGCCAATCACCAGGAGACAGTGAGTTCTAGTCCCGCCTTAGGCATGAAAGCCGGCTGGGTGACTTTAGGCCAGTGGTTCTCAACCTGTGGGTCGGGACCCCATTTGGGGTCGAACGACCATTTCACGGGGGTCGCCAAACAAGGCTGTCTGCCACTTTTCCCCCCTTTTCTTTGGCCACACCCCTGGCATCCAGTGATGTATACGTGGTTGGGAGTCACCACAACATGGGGAACTGTATTATGGGGTCGCGGCATTAGAAAGATTGAGAACCACTGCTTTAGGCAGTCAGTAGGAGACTGGGAGTTCTAGTCCTGCCTTAAGCATGAAAACCAACTGGGTGACTTTGGGCAAGTCGCTTTCTTGCCAGCCCAACCCACTTCACAGGGTTCTTGTTGTGAGGAAAATAGGAAGAAGGAGAGTGTCAGAAATAACAAGTTAAAAGGTCAGATACAGGTTTTGAAAAATGCACCGAAAGGGGCGGAGGGAATGGGGCAAAAAACCAGGGGAGGACACAGCTGGTCTACTTCACTCTGAACGCCTTTTTCCTCTTTCGTTCAGTCCAAAGTCGTGGGTGGCAAAGACGACGACGGCGCCAACCAGCTCCATTCGCCGACGGCCTCTGGCGACAAGCCACCCCAGGACAACGCGCCCTTCTAAGTCGACAGCGTGGCGGTGCATGGCTGCCGGAGAACCCTCACCCTTTGCTCTTCCCAACATGCAAGACGAAAATGAAAAAAAAAAAAAAAAGAAAGAAAGAAAGAAAGAAAAGAATTGCGGTCCCACTCGGAAGAGAGATCGATCCATACGTCCCTCTTGGCTGCTGGAATCTTCAGGTCCAATAAAGTGAACACACGGCTTTTTGTACACTTACACCTATTTTACACTAAAGGTTACTCGGGGGGGAGCCCCGCGCTGTGCTTCCGTTTGGAAGGCTACCATCGGGGACGAGTCTGCCATTTGAGCCCAAAAGAGCCCCCCACCACCACTTTTATGCTTCACAGGCTTGTAGACACTGCCCCCCCCCTCCTCGTTCCCTCCGGTTGCAAGCAGAAATTCGACTTTTTTTTTATGCAATATGGAAAAAGGGTCGTTCCAAGAGGGGTTAGCTGTATGTGAACAGCTGGGCGCTCTATATATACCCTTATTCCCATCTCCTCGGTATAACTAGCTAGCTAGCTTTCAGTTACTCTAGCTTCTTTTCTTTCTGGGCAGTTAAGAATGGCCCGTGACTGCTCTAGAAATCTCCTCATCTCTTGTTTAGATTGATAAACCAAGTTTACTTAGTGGGGTTAAAGATATTCCCCTTCTCTCTCCCCCCCCCTTTCTGGGATTCTCGGAAAGGAATCTCCTTTTAGCGCCAGCCGCCCGGACATCTCTTAAGCTTTAATAAATCTCAGAAAGTTTATTTTTTTGGGGAATGGGAAGTGGACTTCTGCACTTTTAGCATTGCGATCTAGGGGCCACCTGTTTTTCAGACGCGGGAGCTGAAACACAAGCCTTACATCACCACCTGCTTTACTCATTTATAATCTTTTTATATCTCGGAAGTGTGAAGAATGTTGTGGGTGAGAAAGGAAAGGAAAGGAAAGGGGTTGAGGCATCTTACCATAGAAACTGCATGTGGCTCTTATTTTTTTTCAGTGGCATGTGGCTGTGTTGCATACATACTCGTACGCATGTTCTCTCTCTCTCTCTCCCCTTCTCTCTCTCTCTCTCTCTCTCTCTCTCTCTTTCTTTCTCTCTCTCTCTCTCTCTCTCTCTCTCTCTCTCTCTCTCTCTCTCTCTCTCTCTCTCTCTCTCTCTCTTTCTCTCTTCCCTGAGTGTACTGAAATTGCTTCTCTGTCCTCTGGATTTGGATCTTGCCTTAGAAAGTCCTGGAGGCAGCAAGGGAATTTACCGGGATTATTGGGGCGCCCAAATTCCGTTCTGCTGGGTTTTCTTTCTTCGTTCGTTGCTCCTTCCACGAACTTTCGCCTGATGTTTTTGAGATTCTGTTCATGGCTTCTGCAACCAGTGGATGGCCCTGTTCATAGGCTGCTGTTGGCGATTGCGCGTGGAAACACTAATATGTTGAGGGTGAGAACGTGCCGTTCTCCTGACTTTGTAGCGTGAAGACAGAGGCGCCACTAAGCGATCCAAACGTCTCTGTGCCTGAAGAGGCTCAGTGGGACGGGAAGCAGTGCCCCGCAGGAGTTACCAACGGTTGACATTTGCACCCAAAAAGAACAATTTGGTGACCCTTCCTCTCTCTCTCTCTCCAGTCTCTTGAGAAGCACGTTTTGACACTTAAGCGTTGACGATGAAATTCTCCCTGCGTCCTTTTGTTCCTGTTGGCTGAATATCTTCCTGGTCAAACGTGGTTCAAAAGAAGCAGGAGAATCCACAGAGGTTAGGATACGGGGTTTTACTGTAGTTTCTTAAGAGGGAGGTAGCCCACCTGTGTTGGAAAAAAAGGGAGGATTGGTGTTGATGCGACAGGGAGCTGCAGGATGAGGCTAAGTTGTTTCTCCTGTACGGGTCTGGAGGAAATTTGTCAATAAAATATTCCTTTTGGAAAAGCAGAGTGCTTGTCTGTCCTGTTGTGTTTTTGGCTCGCCAACCCTGCTTGCGGGCCACGGCCCCTTGGCACGCGGTGATCTTTTTGGTGCTGCCAAAAGTCAGATGGTCCTGAATGGAAGGCTCAGAACAGCCTCCGCGTCGCCTGGAAACGAGATGGGCGGCAAACGGATCTAACCCAGTGGTTCTCAGCCTGTGGGTCGGGACCCCATTTGGGGTCGAACGACCATTTCACGGGGGTCGCTAAACGACACAGTCCGCCATTCCCCCCCCCTTTTCCTTAGCTGTGCTACTCCCTTTTATTCTATTGGCTTTTGAAAGCCAATAGAATAGACTCTCTTGAATAGAGTCTAATTCTATTGGCTTTCAAAAGCCAATAGGAATTGTCCAGGCTGTCTCTGCCCTGCTGAGCCCGCCAAAAATCCCATTCTGCAAACGGTGCTGCATCAGTTGAGTAGTCCTAGACTTACGACCGGTTGAGTAGTCCTTGACTTACGACTGGTTGGGGGTCGCGGCATTAAAAAGGTTGAGAACCACTGGTCTAACCCATCAAGGTTGCTGTCCAACCCTTCTCCTTGCTCCACGGCTGAACTGTACAGGAAGTCCTCAACTTAGCCCCACAGTTGAGCTCAAAATTTCCCTTGCTAAACAAGGCTGATCATAAGTGGGTTTTTTGTCCCATTTTACGACCTTTCTTTCCACGCTAAGCGAATCGCTACAGTTGCTAAGCTAGCAACACGGTTGTTAAGTGAATCCGGCCACCCTATGGACTTTGCTTGTCAGTAGGTCGCAAAATGGGGAATCACGTGACAATAATGGGTTTATTTGACAAATGCAGTGTTTCTTTCGTGCACCCTGGCATTTATTTTATGACTGCTGCAAAAGTCTAAAATCAGATCTGTCGTGTGCCTGGCTTCATTTACAGCCATGATGAGCAGACTCCGTGACGGTCGTATGCCGAGGACTACCTGTAAATATGAGCCCTGGGACTCTAAAGACGAACAAGGTGGCAACGTCACACTGCCTAAGCTGTTTATGCAGATTGTATGCCTGGTTTCGGCTGGTGTCAAGCCACCCAAATGGGGACGATTCAACAATCATTTGATTGTGATTATTGCAGGGGTAGGCAACCTTGGCTCTTTTATGACTCGTGGACTTCAACTCCCAGAATTCCTGAGCCAGCCATGCTGAGGGGAAAAGGAGAGGTTTCCAAGCTGAGCCATGCTGGCTCAGGAATTCTGGGAATTGAAGTCCACGAGTCATGAGGGGGCCATAGTTCCCCCATGCTGGCTCAGGAATTCTGGGAGTTGAAGACAACGAGTCATAAAAGGGCCAAGTTTGAAGACCCCTGGTTTAAATATTTAAATATTTTTTCCTCACAGTCACATGATCAAAATTCAGACATTTGGGCAGGGGTAGGCAGCCTTGGCTCTTTTATGACTGGTGGACTTCAACTCCCAGAATTCCTGAGCCAGCATGGCTCAGCTTGGAAACCTCTCCCTTTTCCCTCAGCGTGGCTGGCTCAGGAATTCTGGGAGTTGAAGTCCACGAGTCATAAAAGAGCCAAGGTTGCCTACCTCTGGCCTAGTGGTTAGGGCACCAGGCTAGAAAGGGAGACCATGAGTTCTACTCCCGCCTTAGTGATGAAAGTTGACTGGGTAATTTGGGGCCAATCACTTGGAGACGGTGAGTTCTAGTCCTGCCTTAGACATGGAAACTGACTAGGTAACTTTGGGCCAATCACCAGGAGACAAGGAGTTCTAGTCCCATTTTAGGCATGAAAATCAGCTGGGTGACTTTCAGCCAATCAGCAGAAGACAGGGAGGTCTAGTCCCACCTTAAACATGAAAATCAGATGGGTGACTTTCAGCCAATCAGCAGGAGACAGGGAATTCTAGTCCCACCTTAGGCATGAAAATCAGCTGGGTGACTTTGGACCAATCAGCAGGAGACGGAATTCTAGTCCCACCTTAGGCATGAAAATCAGCTGGGTGACTGGCCCAATCAGCAGGAGACAGGGAATTCTTGTCCCACCTTAGGCCTGAAAATCAGCTGGGTGACTTTGGACCAATCAGCAGAAGACAGGGAGTTCTAGTCCCACCTTAGGCATGAAAATCAGCTGGGTGACTTTGGACCAATCAGCAGAAGACAGGGAGTTCTAGTCCCATCTTAGCTATGAAAGCCAGCTGGGTGACCTTGGGCCAATCCCTCTCAGCTTAATCCACCTCATAGGGTTGTTGTGGGGGAACATAAGGGAAGGAAGGAGTATTAGGCGTGTACCCTGTCTTGAGTTATTTATAAAAAATAATAAAGGCAGAATAAAAATACATAAATAAGTCTTATGTTTTTCTTTGTTGTGAGGAAAGTAGGACATGGACCTGTGGCCTAGATTACTGCCCTATTAAAACATGAATTCATACTATTAGATGTGATACAGATGTAATACGGTGCATAGGAACTGTCCCCAGCCAGATAGCCTTTTATAATGCGCTGATGGACGCACGTCCGGTGGTATATCCATGCAAAACAATATGTGATTTATTACACTGAATATGTTAACAGGATTCGTAACACATATAGGATCCTGGGAAGATTGATGGCTGGTGGGTTAAAGTTCGTGCGTTTTCACTAGACTCTCAAATCCCAAAGCAAAATACGACCCCATCATCTTTTTTTGGTTTGGATATTGTCCATTACTCATCAAAGCCACATGGAGGCCCTAAGGCAGGGGTAGGCAACCTTGGCTCTTTTAGGACTCGGGGACTTCAACTCCCAGAATTCCTGAGCTAGCCACGCTGAGGGGAAAGGGAGAGGTTTCCAAGCTGAGCCATGCTGGCTCAGGAATTCTGGGAGTTGAAGTCCACGAGTCATGAGGGGGCCATAGTTCCCCCATGCTGGCTGAGGAATTCTGGGAGTTGAAGTCCACGAGTCATGAGGGGGCCATAGTTCCCTCATTCTGGCTCAGGAATTCTGGGAGTTGAAGTCCACGAGTCATGAGGGGGGCCATAGTTCCCCCATGCTGCCTCAGGAATTCTGGGAGTTGAAGTCCACCAGTCATAAAAGAGCCAAGGTTGCCTACCCCTGCTTAAGGTAATGCTAAACCATTGCTTAATGAGAACGAGACTAGGTTTGCCCTTTTCTCCTAACATCTAACCTGGCTAATGAATTAACCTGTTTTCTGCGTTCATACAAATACACTGATCATAACCAAATGGCCTGAGTTACTACAAAAGGCTTAGCTGGGGGGAAAAAAATCCTAACCAAGATTAACACTAACCAACTTAGTATGTGCGAATAGAGTGGCTAGATACTATTCAGATAGTCCTTGATTTACAATCATTTGTTTAGCGAACATTCAAAGTTACAACGGCAATGAAAAGACTGACTTACGACTGGTCCTCACACTTACGACTCTTACCGCATTCCCACAATCCGGTGATCAGAATTTGGGTGCATGGTTGCAGTGACCCGGGATCACGTGATCACCAATTGCCACCTTTCCAGCCATCTTCTGACAAGCAAAATAAATGAGGGAAGCTGAATTCACGTAACAAAATGATTTACTTAACAACTTCGGCGGAAAAGGTCGTAAAATGGTTGCTTTGCATCACTTATGTCACACCCGGCTGCGTTGCAGCGTTGCTTTTGAAAAATCCACCTTGCTGTGTTAACAAACACTTGAACAGGACAACAGGCAGACATAATTTCACACAATAGCCTCTCCGGGCAATCTTACGGCTTGCTGATTATTGTGATTCAGCCAGTGCAGTGAAATGACGGTTCAGTGATGCAAACTCAGAACGTGGTTAATTCAGTTCAGCGAGCAATGAGCTCAACATGTTCTTCTAACAGAGGCAGAGAATACATCTTAATTCTGCAGCAACATTATGTAATTAACCTTTTAAGCACTTGGGCTACAGGTTGAGTTATTGCTTGTGATCGAGTGCGCAGTTATTAAATGTGCATTTGATAGGGGTTTTTTTGAGTGGTGGGGGGAGGAGAACACAGGCAGTTGATAAATAAAAAATATTGGTCTGATACCAAGAAGGACTTGGGTGAGTAAATGCCTGAGACACAAGGAACCACGGTATCCTAACCACTGAGAAGAGCCAGCTAGCCAGCAAATAGAAAAAGAATATATATATATATATATATATATATATATATAAATAATATATATATATACACATACATACATACATACATACATACATACATATTGCATAGCATTCTTTTCCTTTCCTTTTTAAATATAGGTAGTCCTTAATTTCTAATAGTTTGTATAGTGACTGTTCACGCTTACATCAGGGGAAAAAGTGGCTTGTGGCCATTTTTCACCCCTACAACTGTTGCAACATCTCCATGCTCATGTGATCAGCATTCAGACAGTCGGCAACTGACTCGTGTTTATGACGGTCGCGGTGTCCCAGGGTCATGTGATCCCCTTTTGTGACCTTCTGACAAGTGAAGACAATGGGTAAACCAGATTCACATTAAGAACTGTGTTACTAATTTTTAACAACTGCTGTGATTAGCTTAATAACTGGCGAGAAAGGTCATAAAATGGGGAAAAACTCACTTAACCAAGTGTCTCGCTTGGCAACAGCAAATTTTGGGCTGAATTGTGGTTGCAAAGTCAAAGATTACCTATAGTAAAAACAAATCTGCATAGAAAAAAACATCCAAAAGGATTTTCACAAATATATATTATATATTCAAGTTTTTTTCCTTTGTATTGACTGGTTTCAGGCCAAAACTTACTCAGTGACTTACAACCTTCCCTGCTGGCTTCTCCAGTGACTTGCAAATGGGGGTCACGTGACCATGGGGCGCTGCCATCGGTTGTAAGTGTAAACTGAATTACGTGAAGTCCACATATCTTTCAGGCTGCCAAGGCTGAGGAACACTGGACTGGTGTGTGAATATTTTTTCAGCACTCAACGTTTCTTAGCCAGCAAACCAAAACCTAATGGATCAAGCATCTCTGCTTTACACCGTCATGACTTACAATCAAAATTATAGGCTGAATTGTGGTCGTTAATTATAGGACTACCTGTAATCAGAAGTCGCCCCTAGGTCAGACTTCAGCAGATGAAAGCAAATCGGGTGGTAAATACATGGATAGGGGACCACCAGGAAATTTTCTCAGTTGTAGTCTAGACTAGGAAGTGGAAGAAACTATACGATGTCCTCAGCTTGAGACAGCCCAGCTTTGAGAGTGCAGAAACTTTGCACTGTTTGGTCCTCCCAGAGCTGGGTGGGAATTCTGGGGGGTTGTAGTGCTAGAATCTAGGCCAGGGGTAGGCAACCTTGGCTCTTTTATGACTCATGGACTTCAACTCCCAGAATTCCTGAGTCAGCATAGCTGACTTAGGAATTCTGGGAGTTGAAGTCCATGAGTCATAAAAGAGCCAAGGTTGCCTACCCCTGATCTAAGCCATCTCAAGAATAAAAAAACGGGGGGGGGGGTTAGAAAGGCCATTTGGAAACCTTTCTGTGTCCCAAGACATCCACGCCATCCACTCAGGCAGCAGGCAATGTCCAGATTTAGCTATCAAATTATTTCTGAGTGAATAAGGTTTAATACATCACTACATGATAACAATGCATTGATCACCCACCTCATTTGTGCATTCTCTCAAGACGCAGCTACCTTCATAAATTTCTGGGGGAGGAGAAAATTTTTCAGGCAATTCTGATAGAGGCAGGTAAGGGGAAGAGGCACCTCCTAACACATGGACCTCATTCTCTCTCTCTCTCTGTGAATAGAATAAACAGAGTTGGAAGGGACCTTTTAGGTCATCTAGTCCAACCCCGCCTGCCCAGTATGTGGACATGTGTGTAATGCTTAGTTGCACAGTGCTTTCTCTCCCTGATAGAAATTGCATAATTGATGAAAATTGCAAGAAAACCAGAGAATTTTGCTTTGATAAGACTTCACCGAGTACCAAAAAGCCACCTTCCCTGGTGGTCTAGTGGTTAGGATTCGGCGCTCTCACCGCCGCGGCCCGGGTTCGATTCCCGGTCAGGGAAAGTGACATTTTTACCAGGCGCAGCTGCAGGGCGAAGGCTCCACGCGATTGCAAAACCATCCTCTTTTGCATCTGCCTCCCTCCGGAGTACCCCAGCGCCCATCATCCCCAACCAGTCAGCCCGCCAGAACACGTGGCGGGGGGGGGGGAGTTGCAACTCCTGCCGCAGAATCACCGCGCCTCGGCCGTGCCCTTAGCCAATCAGGGAAGCACCGGGAATCCCCTCCCCGCGTGACAGCAGAAGCAGCAGCAGCAGCAGCAAAGCCATGTGCGCACGCGCGAGGGAAGAGGAGGAGGGGGGGTCTCTCTCCCGCCTGGCCGTCCGCGCGCCTCGCGCGCCTGGGAAAGCGGGTGCCGCCGCCGCCTCTTCCATATCCGACGACAGCCTCTTCCTTTAATCCTCCTTAAAATATATATATATATATATATGTTTAAATCGCTTTTCCCCCCCATCTGATCGAAGCGCGCGCGCCCCCGGTCTCCCTCACGAAGCGCGTCCGCGCGGAGACGCGCCTTCCTCCGCCTGCGCCACACACTAAACCTCGTCTGAAGAGAGAGCGAGCGAGCGAGAGAGAGGCGCGCACGCGCGCAAGACTGCGGAGGCGCGCGCGCTCCCGTCCCCCTCACGCGCCTGTTTCTCTTCTTCCCCCCCCCCGTCCTCCCTTCACGCGCCTGTTCCCCCTCACGCGCCTGCTCCCCTCACGCGGCGCGCGCCTTCCTCCTCCTCCTTCTCCCCCCCTCCCGCTGCCGTTCCTCGTGGGCGCGCACGCCGGTGGTGTCCGGGCGGGCTGGTCGGACGGCGCGAGCGCTTCGGGCTTTGGGCTGTGGGCACCGGCCGGCCGGCTGCCTTCCTTCACGCCCCGTCGCCGGGCCTGCTTCCTTCCTTCCTTCCTCCCGCCCGTCCGTCCGCCGCCTCGGCTGAGGGGGAAGACCCGGCCCGCCCCTCCCGTCGCGGCTCCCGGAGGCCGTCCGCCTGCCCGCCCTCCCGCCCACAGGCGGCGGCGAGGAGGAGGAGGAAGAAGTCGAAGGCGGCAGGCAGGTGAGGGGAGCCGGGCGAGGCGACGGTGGCGCAGTGGGGCGGGGGGGAGGGAGGTAAATGTGGGGATTGGGAGGCGGTGAAGAAAAGGGGAGCCCCGGGTGGGGGGGGGGAGGCCGCTCCTTCCCAGCCGCCCTGAGGAACCGGGAGAGAAGACCCTGGACCCGGAGGGGGGGGTCTCTACTTCGTGCTCATCTGACGCCCCCCCCTCCCCATTTTATAGGCTTTGCTGTCAGGGTTGAGGAGGAGCCCGCGGATGCTGGAAGGAGGCAAACGGGTGGGCCAAGGATTGGGGAGATGATGCTGGGCCGGGGAAGCCCCCCCCCAATCTCTTAGTTGGGTTGGGGAGGGGGCTGCTCAAAAGGTAGTTTGGATTTTGCAAGCAGGAGAAGCTCTCTGGTGATTCGTGGGAAGCTGGGCCAGCCCTTTGCGGACAGGAGCATCCTTTGGGCCTCTCCTGCTGGGATTGAAAAATGTAAAAAAAAAAATAATCTCCTTTCTGTTGGGAATAGATACAAGCTTCAGGGTGGGGGGAAAAAAATCACCCACCCCTAAATGGCATATATTGCTGGGCTTGCGTTTTTTTTTTTTAAATTTGGGAGGGGTGGGGAGGGAGAGAGACTCCAGCCTGGCCCCCTCCCCGCTCGTGAGGCTTCCGAAATCCATGGCTTTCATTTGAATTTTGGTGAGAGGGTCCTTTGAAGGGCAGTTGGACGTTATGGATTTGATGGGAGGATGGTGGAGGATGAACATAGCCTTTCTTCCGCTCTCCGTGCCTTCCTTGGTGCTGAGCGTTCGGTGGCTGATGCCGTTTCTATAACCAGACCCCGAGGAGCGAGGATGAAGAATCAAGAGACGTGCGTCATTCCTACATTTTTATCTGTGTCTCAGAATTACAGACTTGATGGCCCAGACCGGTCAGTTCATTATCCCCGTTGGTGGAATTAGGGAGCTCTTTTATGGAGGGGGGGGGAAGGAAAGCCATCCTGGCTGAACGCTGGTGCTGTTGGAACACAGCAGGGACTTGTATCAACTTTATGTCTTTATTGCATCGGTTTGCAATATTGCAATTAATAAATGCGCTGCTAATGTTTGCTGTTCATTTCTGCCTTTTGGGTAGGGTGTGGAAAAGCTGGAAAAAAGGGACAAAATCCGTATATCACTTTGGACCAGTTGGAGATAACATTGGCTTTTATTTCAAGCTGTTTTATTGCTGTAATTTTCTCCTTGGGATGTGTAATGGTGAGAGTGCCTTTTCTGGCTGGTTACTGAAGCAAAGATTGAGTTAGATAGGTCATTCCGTGAGCTACGGCAACATCTTTAATTACTGTACAGAAAGGCATTATTTATCTATTTATCTGCAAACTTTATAGGCCTTTCCAATCCACTGACTCGGAGCAAATCCATAGTTGGAGTTAAATACATAACAATCAAAGGTTAAAATCAAGACCATACATTATAAAACATCAGATTCACCAGTAATCAAACATTCCCCTGTCCAAAAAAACTAATTAAAAGTAAATGTGGAAGGATAGTCACAGCAGTCTTGCTGGATGAATTAGATGAATAAGACCCTTTATCTGGGGGTATCCTGTTCCAGTTTGGGGAATAGCATCAAAGAGGCCTGTTTCTATAGTCCTTATATATGGCAGTATGTGATCAAAAGGACCTTTAAAGATCTTACCCTACTTAAGGGTTGGGGAGGCAGATGTTATTTGGAGGGAGGTGGTCCCCTGCAGAAATCAAAATAGAGCTGTTAGGTGGTCCAGCTGCTGCAATCTGGAACAGCTTCTATTGCCAAATGCCTTTTAATGGCATCCAAAAATAGAGTTCATCACAACTGGCCAATCCAGGCAAAAATTACAGGAAAGATTGCAGTTGGTATACAAGATGGAGCTGTGCAAAGGCATTCTTGACTGACTGCTACTTAATTATCCCTCTACATTTAAATGGGTTTTGTTGTGTTTTTTTTTTTTTTTTTGGATAGGGGAATGTTAGATCCTTATGTGTCTGGGTGTTTTATAATGTATGGTCTTGGCTGTTATGTATTTATTTTAACTTAGTTGACTAAAAAGGCCTATAAATAATGCAAATAAATAAGTGTGCTATTTAAATTCAGTTGGAGGGAGAGATCAGAAAGGTGCTAGCACTTGCAAACTTGCTGAGGCTCCCTTTCACACATGAAAGTGTGTGTGTGTGTGTGTGTGAAATCTTTACTGCCCGATGAAATCTTTATTGCCTCTTGATTTCATTCCACTTGACTACAAGAGGAAGGAGGGCTACAAACTGGGTCAGTTGCCTACCCTCCTCCCTTTGGCAGCAGTTAAGTCTGTTGTGATTCCCAGGACTTTTGACCGAAGGCCAGGGGAACTATTTAACATATGGGATTAAATTGGATATTGCCAGTGGTGCATGATTCATTTATTTTACAGTTCTGCATAAAGCTAATTGAATTAGCGCATCTTATTTTCTCGGTGCACTGAAAGGGAGATAAACCTTGGGAGAAAAAGGGGAGGCGAAAGAGTGTCCAGCAGATTATGTTTCTGTCCCCTAAATTCTTCTGATCATTTTGTTAATAGATCTGCCAAACTTCTTGGAGATGCCCAGGTAAGGTGGCTTCTTGATACAATACTGAATTCAGTTCTCTTTTTCCATTTTTGAGTTTCTCGTCTTTGGGGCCTCAAAATTACACACACACACACACACACACACACACACACACACACACTTTCATGTGTGCATGTATAATTTGTAGGAGGCCAAAAAGACCAGAGATTCAAAAATGAAAGAAGAGAACTGAATACACACACACACAAACGCACAATTTTCCTCTTTATTATTTATGCAAATAATTCAATGCAATGAACATATCCAACACACCTTCCTCCTCCTTTTTCCCCCACAACAACAACCCTGTGAGACAGGTTGGGCTGAGAAGAAAGAGTGATTGGCCCAAGGTCACCCAGCTGGTTTTCATGGCTAAGACAGGCTATGAACTCATGGTTTACTTCAGGGATAGGCAACCTTGGCTCTTTTATGACTGGTGGACTTCAACTCCCAGAATTCCTGAGCCAGCATGGCTCAGCTTGGAAACCTCTCCCTTTTCCCTCAGCATGGCTGGCTCAGGAATTCTGGGAGTTGAAATCTACCAGTCATAAAAGAGCCAAGGTTGCCTACCCCTGGTCTACTTCATTAATTTTTCGTCTCATATGTTTGTGTTTCTCCTTTGTATTGTTTGTAATGCGTATTCTGGAATACAATAGACTATGTTGAGTATTTCAGTTTTTACTACATGTTGCTTTAAGTTGTTGTTTTAATCAGCTCCAAAATGACATTTCTGTTATTTCTACTCCTCTGATAATAAACATTTTGTTAACATTTGGGGTTTGTGTTCAACTGAATGAGTTCAGGGTTTAACCAATGGAAGCTATCACTATTCTATTTTCTCCAGAATAGGATTTTTAAAATCCTGCTTTACAAAATTGGTCAAATTCAGAATGCAGGATTTATTGCCAGGCATATTTAAAAGGTAGCTTTTAAAACTTTTGAAGTTTGTACCTTTTTCCTTGCTATTCTAAACCAATGGGTTGTGTGGAAGGATTGCAAACATTTGAGCATTTTGTTTCTGATTTAGTCCTGCTATTTTGCTGAGCAAACCTGTATTGCACAAATATTGAGGCCAGAGCATTTTATTATCAAATGTCATGCAGCATAAACTTTTTGGGATGTTACTAATGCTATTTCCTTGTATTTTGGAATGAACAGCTCTCCTGCTGCCTGTGCAGTCTTTTATTGTGCCTTAGGTATCTACTCAGGTAGACTATGGGGAGTAGAATTGCACAGCTGAGACTCAGACATATCTGCATATGGCTGTATTAAAAAGGACAGGAAGGTGAGCTTGATGTTTAAAGGAGAAGGTGGGATCTTTATAAACACACATCTGTTGTGAGGTTGTTGTTAAGAGCATAAGAACCCAAGCCAGGGGTCTTCAAACTTGGCAACTTTAAGACTTGTAGACTTCAACTTTCTCAGGGCTAGCTGAGGAATTCTGAGAGTTGAAGTCCACAAGTCTTAAAGTTGCCAAGTTTGAAGACCCCTGACCTAAGCAGTGCCCTGGCCCATCTTCTTCAACAGTCAGTTCTCAATTGTAGCCAAACAGCTGTACCGGTTTCTCCGTAGATGGTCTTCAGAAGCAGTCCCACTACTATCAACGTTAAGAGTCACCCCAGGAAGATAATATGAATTAGTCTAACCTTTTTTTTAAAAGCCAATCAAGTTGGTAGCCAGCACCGCATCTCATGTTACTATCAAACTTTTCCAAAACAAAATTATCAGCTTACAGCCATTATTGAATTACTTATTAAAATATTACATTAGTTTACAAAGTATTTATTGAAATATTACATTATTTCAGTCTTAAGACTGAATGTTAACATTAAAAGATTTAGAGGAAAGAATAGAAGGGGAACTCCTCAGATTTCCAGATGACCAAACTGGTGGGAATAGCCAACAGGATCTGGACAGATTTGAACATGGGGCCCTATCCAATAAAATGAAATTCAGTGGTGGGAAAAGTAAGATTTTATGCTTAGGCAAGAAAAAACTTGATGTACAGGTACAGAATAGGTGGTCTCTGCCTCAACAGCTGTAACTGTGAGAAAGATCTGGAAGTTCTTGTGGAGATGCCAAAAAAACCAACACAGTCCTGGGCTGCATCAGAAGAGGGAGAGAATCAAGATTACTTGAAGTGTTAGTACCATTTTATAATGCTTTGGTCAGACCCTGCTTGGAATGTTGCGTTCAGTTTTGGTCGCCATGATATAAGAAAGATTTTGAGACACTGGAAAGAATGCAGAGAAGAACAACAAAGATGATTAGGGAATTTAGGCTAAAACATGAAGAACAGTTGCAGGAACTGGGTATAGTTTAATGAAAAGAAGGACTAGGGATGACATAGCCGTGTTCCAATATCTGCAAAGAAGGCGTCAACCTATTCCCCAAAA